CAGTGGTGTCTTTATTTCTGAAAGCACCTGTACTAAAGCAAGATCTGAATGATCCTTGAACCTTGGGAATCTGTAGTTATCCAGATGGCATGGCTTTCACGGGATGAATTTTTCTCTGGAATACTGATAAGATATTTTAATGGTGGGATTAACTCAGCCTTTTGGATGAATTATGAATAGTTCTGAATCATTATCACAGGAAGAATATTAAGAAGGAAGAAAAACTGGCTAAGCAGCCGGTAAAGATAAAGGAGTTATCAGTTATTTTTTTGTGCTATTTTTCTCTTTAGAAATGTTGTAGAAATATTGGAAACTGGGGAATATAACCATCTATTGGGAATAATTCTCAGCAACAATGTTTCTCTCAATTTTAAATTCAAGTCCTTACCTATTTGGGGATGACTAGAAAAATGAAAATCTTGTTCTCTGTTAGCAGTCAACTGGCCTCAGACTGTGAGACGTGTGTGGAACATTCCCAAGGCCACTACTGCTTATCCAATTATTGAATGTTTCCAAATCTAAAGTTAGTATTATACTTAAATCAAAATTTGAACTGCTGATATATTATCAGTTAGAAATGTGGATTAACTCATTTAAATTCTGTTTTAATTAGGACTCGTTTTAATTTCTTTGCCTTTATGTGTCTGGAAAGTAGGTTAAAATTAGGCCTGGTCTGTCACTGTTTTATTTAATTCTGGTGATTTGTTTTTTGTCTTATTATTATTATTTTTTACCAGTGTAGTATGTTGTACATAGTCATAGACACCAGAAACATTTTTCTCTTACTGCTGTGATTCTGCTGTCTTCCATGAAAAAGGAGTGGGGCAATTCACTCAGTAGAAGTAGGAGATTCTAAAAATTCTTAAGACAACCCAGAAAATATAATCAGAGGAGAGATTCTAGCTCTATAGAAATTTCTTTAGGGCTGCTAGCTAGATTTTGTTAAAAGCAATACTGCCCTCTGGTGTCCAGAAGCCAGTTCTCGCATATCATTTTGAGTTAAAATGCTTGTTTTAGTCTTAAAGTGTAGACTCTAGGTACTTTTCAAAAAATCAGTAGTAAATTATTTAAGACTTGGTTTAGTTCACTTGCTAGCTTGAAGTATGTTGGGTCAGATAACTTCGTATTGTTCTAGAGTCAATAATTTGTTTACTACCTCTCATCTGATAGGTAAAATCCAAGTGGTCCTTTTGTTTTTGTTTTTGAATTTTTTTTATATTACTTTCCTCTGTTCATAAGGAAAGTAGTTCCCAGAATTCATTTAAAGATATAATACATTGGATCACTGCCAACTTTTTAAAAGCTAAATCATTATTCTCTTTCCTTTTGTAACTGATGTGTCATTTTTCATCTCATTCTGAATATGAATCGTAATTTCTTTTGCCTGTGTTTTTTCTTCACAAGCACGCCTTTCATATAATGATAGAGGTAAGATGCATTGATGTTTGTTTTATGGTTGTGGAATTTTTTGTGGATGCATATTAAACATTTTGTCCTTAAGATTTTTGTTGTTATTGTTGCTTTACTGTGCATCCTTTAGTTTATATACATTTATGTTATAAGGATTTCCCCCTGCCTTTATTATAAAAATATGATTGATTTGACATAGTAATAGGTTTTGATTTTAAAGGAATGCTAAGAGTATTCATACTTATTTAAAGTAGAATATAGAAATGACTGTTTTAGCTGATTAAAAGAACATCAAATGACTCTAATAGCCTTAAAAATTTTGTATCGTTTAATTTTTAGAGGATGTCATAAGTTTCAATGTTAGCATGTGCTCATTTTTAACAAGAGCTTTCTAGTCCAGCCCATTATCTTTTAATGTGAAATCTGTATTTTCAGATAGTTTTATCTTTGGCATTTCTAGCAAATGAACTAGCTGCAGAAATACAACTTTTGATGAATTTTTGCTGTCTGAATGTTTAAGGCTATATAACTTTATTAGAATTCACCCTTCAAATGGAGAATTCAGAAATAGTAAAATGATAACAGATGACTTCACAACTGTCGGTCTCTATCTGTGTATTCCAGTGTTGGTTATAATAATGATATTGGGAAGGAGTCCTGGGGTAGAAGACTTTTTCTAATAATTGTAGTTTTAGCATGATATTTTCTGATGACATGAGTATAATCAGAGCCATTTCTAATGTATATCTTTTTAGTTTTCCAAAATAGTATGTATATTGCAAGATAACTGGATACTTAGGAAAAGTTTTTATGAATTCTTAAAACCTTTTTAGATGCTTTCCCAAAAGTAGTTTTTCAGTATAGCAGGGCAAAGCAGTATTTTGTGGATAACATCAGACAGAATGCTGCTGTCATTTCTGACATTTACCTTTGCATTTGTCTTCCCAGGGTGTCATACATTTCAAAGGTTTAAGTCTTTATTTCTAGAGTCAAATAAGGTTTTTTTTGTGTGTGTGTTTGTGTGGGTAAACTACTATAATGATCTTAATAAGCTGAAAATTCTTTCTAATATTCTTAGATTATTGGATAAATAAAACATATTAGAAATGCATTTAATATTTTATTCGAATAATTTCTGATTAAAAAAGCAAAAAGTTTATATTGATGAGTGCTATAGATTTTATACAATTATCTTTGCTAAAAAGTTATTCAATTTTAGACCTAATCCTTTAATTGTTAAAGAATATTATTTTAAATTACATTTAAAAACACATTTCTAAAAGTTTTAATACTATAAGAATGTGCCTTTGTAGACCTTTTTCTCACTCTGAAAATAAAATAGGCCAGTTTTTTTCTCTTAATTTGAGGATTTTTACTTTTAAGTAATTTTGAAAGAAGTGTTATGGTTGTTATGATACAATATTGAATATAATTGTAATATTAAGAGGGTGACTTAGGATATCTTTATGAAATAGTGGTAGCTTAGAAATTTGCTGAACAGAGCCTTAGAAACTTTCCTTATCTGTGCATTTGGAAAACAAATAACTACTTTTCCCTAAATATACACATTAAAAATTATTGTATATCTTCTGAATTTAAAGTTAATGTACTCAAATCATTGTTTGAACTACTGATATATTTTTGAGATATGAATTAAATCATCTAAATCTTGTTTTACAGATTGAATCATATCTCTGTGGTTGGTACCCTTTAGAACAGAGAGTATATAAATGTATATGTTATCTACAAACTTTCTCAGTTTATTTATGTCACTAAAAATTTCAGTTTAGAGCTGTATTACTTTCTACCATATTACTTTCTTCAGCTTTCAGTTCTTATCTGCATACTTTAGTTTTTGGCATTTTTGCTTTGAAAAATATACCTTTCTAGCCTTTTCTATTTAGCTTAATCATTCCTTTATGCAGGTATACAGTTATTCTTGGACCTTGAAGACTGGATGGGTTTTCTTTGCCTCTGGAAAAGTAGTTTTCAGCATTTTCGCCTGTCTTCACATTTGTATAAGCAAACTACTCCTGTTGGTAGAGTCTCTAATTACAGGTAGAGATAGTTGAAGAATGAGATAGGGATGGTGTAGTTTCCATAGAAACTCCAGAGAGTCTTGTGTTCCCTCCCACTAAGAATCATTCTCAAGAGCCTGTCCTTCTTGTAAGATTAATAGCTGACCTCGTTGCCCTATTGCTTTGCTAACAGAAACACTCTAGCTTACTAATCCTTCATATATCGAACCTGGAAAGAAAAAGCAACTTCTGTAGACGTTTTAAAATAAATATCTGAGTTTAAAATGAGTTACAGTAATCTATTTTACAGTGTGCTGTTTTAAAATAGAAGTTCTCAAGCCATTTTATAAAGATTGTCTAGTTGCATGTTTTTCCTATTTTATAACCTTGCAGTGTTTCTATTGTTGAGGGTCTTTCTAATGATAGATGTGAACTTTTAAACTCCTGAGTGGCACCAGTAGGCTAAGGAGCACTAGGAGTATTTGAGGCATTAGGAGAGGAGATAAAAAGAGAGGGAGAAGAAAGGCAGAGTAAGATGTATTGATCTGGGTAGCATAACATTTCTAAATGTCTGAGGAACCCAGTGCCATCATACTTTTCCCTCTTGCAACAAAAATTTTATGTCCTCCTCACAACATTTGTTATGTAGCCCTTGAAACATTTCTATTGCTTTTCTCTGGAAGCTTTCTGGAATGGCAGATAACCAACCAATAAAATGTTTTCAGAGAAAAGTTGTCATCCTACTTTGTATAGGGAAGATTCCCTTGTTGTACTCCTATTTATATACTATGTTTGTTCTGTTTTAAAAATTAATTATAGCAGTGTTCTTCTCTTTTATTTATTTATACCTTGCTATCTAATATGATGACCACTTTTTTGAATTTTGGTTTATATTTTCTTTGCCAGTCGGCCTCAGAACACAAACTTATTTTGGGAATAATTATAAACAAAGTGATGAATTGTTAATATGTTAAAAAATGAGGACAAAGTATAAACAATTTGGCTATAACATATTTCTTTTACATGCTTTTGTATTTCATACATCTAACTGCAATGTACTTAAGAATGACTGGTTATTTCTAAGATTAATGAAGAAGATATTTTAATTAATGAAGAAAAAATTTTAAATTAAATAGCCATTAGAAAAAGTATATTTTGAGGTTTTCTTTAAGACATAGTCATAATCTGCTTTTTCTGGCACTTTTCAAATACTTATTCTCTAAGGAAATATTGTTATGAGTGATCTAAAGCTCACAGAAAATCTTAGTGGGGAAAATTAGAGAGACTGGATGAAAAATGGTATTAGATTTTTTTCTACTGCTGTACCTGAGAAGCAATACTGCTAACTGTTATTATGACAACTCTTAAATCAAGTTGCCTGCTTTGTAATCCCTACAGATTAGTGATGCTTGAGAAACTCAGTTCTAGTAAAATTGAAATTAATGTCATCCTTATGTGTTTACCATTTATTTCTGTCAGTTGATTCTTCAGTATACTCACTTATTTCTCATTTTTAGAATTGATATGTTCCAGGGTCTGCTTATTTACACTATTATTCTTGTTTATCTACAGGACCCAGGACCACCCCCACCTTCTCCATTACTAGGTTTGAAGCCACTGCAATTATTAGAAGTGAAAGCAAGGGGAAGATTTGGTTGTGTTTGGAAAGCCCAGTTGCTCAATGAATATGTTGCCGTTAAAATATTCCCAATACAGGTATGCTATTGCAGTTATAAAGTTATATATATATAAAAAGCTGAAACCAACTAGGACATTATAACTCAGAAGCAGTCTAAACACATAGGACTTATATTCCAAAGTGATACTGTGATAATACTGGGAAAAGCAAGTTAGCCTTTTTGTGTCTGCCTTCACATCTGAGAAATGGAATTATTAGTACAAAAACATTTTTTTTTTGGAGTGGTAGAATTATATTAAATAAACATGGGTGATCTTTTGCTAATAAAAATTCTATAAAAATGCTAAGGATTCCAATTAAAAAACCCCATTGGTTAAATTTTAGTATCCCTTACATTATCAAAAAAAGCAAACATAAAAGTGAAGAAGTAGCGTGTTTTGTTTTAGAATTGCTGTTTGGAGGTATATGAACAGACTGATTTATTTTCATTCTACTTCGAGTGTTTATGTAATTATTTAAGTTTTTGTTTGGTGAATTTTCAGAGGCAGTGAATCAAGACTCCAGATAATTGGTTTACTATTTAGTTGTTTTTCTTTCAAAAATAGCTGGACTTTTCACAAAACCCTTATCAAGCTTTTACCCTTCTTTTGTTTTGTTGCATCAGTGGTATAATTTGATGATGATTCCATTTTCCCTTGCTCTTGCTTTTGTACCCTTGTGGCTAATGCTATCCTTAGTACTTAAGCCCCAGGTTGGATTTGAGGATATAAGCTCTACTCCTACACCTAAGTTTTCCTTATTGCAAAGCTATCCTATAAGCAATTTGCCTTACTATAACTATATTTTAGCCTTCTTACCTCTCCTAAAGCTTGTATTGTAGAATCTATGAAGAAGATTATTACTTTGATTGGTTATTTTTGTTAGTAATGCAGATCCTATAAATTACAATTTAGAACTCTAGAGTGTACAGTCTGTAATGCCAGGATTTATTTTTTAAATAGTCAGAGAAGGGGCTAGGGTTGTGGTTCAGCAGTACAGTGTTCACCTAGCATATGTGAGGCCCTGGGTTCGATCCTTAGCACCACATAAGAATAAATAAATAAAATAAAGGTATTAAAAAAAGTCAGGGAAAATTTATTTTAACGTGTGAGGAATCTTAAAAATTATATGAACGTATTTGGATATTAAGAGTAGCATTTTATTGAATGCTCTTATGTCAGGTGTTATATATTACATATATGTATATTATTAGTATGTACATTTAATACCACAACACTATGAGACAGATACTGCAATCCCTGTTTTACTTAATGAGGAAATTAATTATATATATTATATATATTGCCAAAGGTCAGTGGCAGATTCAGAATTTAAGCTTAGTAGTTTGGAGCCAGAGGTTTCCTAATCCATATGCTTTGGTGCCTGTCTTTTCAGTGTCCTTTCATAGTGAAAAGAAACTAATCTTTTATAAGTAAAAATGTAGTAGAAATGAATCATTTGCAGGCACAAATGAGTATATGGTGACTTTAAAGAATGTTACATAATATGTTAGTCGTTGAAAACAAAAATATTTTCTGTTTGGACAGAGTAATTCCACCTGAATTGCATCTTTCAGAGAGATTATTTTGATTACTGACAGGAGCAGCTTCACACCATGATGAAATTACAGTGTAATACTTATAATAACTTGGTAGTAGAATGTGTTGCCATTGTAGTATGCAAAAGTGCAACATTTCTGATGAACTACTGTTCCTCTAGAAACACAGAAAAGGATGTTTTAAAGGATTAGGGTGGACAGGTGTTTAGTATGGAACTACCAGAACTCTGATAGTGTTAACTAATAGAACTTCCTTTCATTAAATGAAAGGTCAAAACAAAAGGTCTTTTCTACTTAAATACATTTTTTTTATTTCTTTAGAACTTTTTAAGTAATTTATTAGATGTGATTTATTTAATATTTTGTTGTTGTTCTTACTATTCTTTCTTTTTAACCTTAGGATAAACAGTCATGGCAAAATGAATATGAAGTCTATAGTTTACCTGGAATGAAGCATGAAAACATATTACAGTTCATCGGTGCAGAAAAACGAGGCACCAGTGTTGATGTGGACCTTTGGCTAATAACAGCATTTCATGAAAAGGTAAAACTACCTAACACTTGAATTCAGTAAAATCAAGAGTTGGCCTACCTATCTGATGTTGACTACAAATCCCTCAGACCTATTTTTCAGTTGATAATATATTATATAGTTGACTATTACTTAACGTAAAGTGCAAATTGTTCTTAAATAAAAATCCATTTTAAAACATAACTTATTTTAACAAAAGAATGAAGTAGCTTTTTTTGTAGCCTCTCTATTTGTAATACCAGTCTTTTGTCCCAGATTTCCTGTGCTGTCTGTAATTACCTCTCTTGAAAATACTTTAGAATAGGCAGTGCTTAGTAATTTTCATTTACTTGTTAATGACCTATTTTGATTTCATAAGCCATTTTCACTTTGAATTCTGTACCTTAAAACTCTTATTTAAAATCTATAATGACAAACCCAGAATCAGAAAATTTATATAATCTTTTAGGGTAATTATCACCAAAACACCCTTGTGTTTTTTTTCCCTCAATTTTTCAACTTCCAGAGATGTTTAATAAAAGTACCATTAATAAGGAAATTTCATTTTTGATACTTTTATCATTGTTAAGTATGTGGCTCTTATAGCTTAATTCTTCACCATAAGAATGCCCATAACCTCTAGAGAAAGTTTTATTAGTGGTTGCTTGTATATTCTGGTGTTTGTTATCCTAGTCCTTTGGTATAATATATTTAAAATTGCTATAATTTCACTTTAAATTTTTTTCTAGAACTTTAGATTTTCAGTATGGATTAAGAAAAACTTGGATTAATGTGAATTGGAAGGAAATTGGGACCATGTTTTTGTATATTTTTATATACTCAAAGGAAAGATACATTGTCTTACACTTATAGATAAAAAATTCCCGTGTACGTATGGCTTTTGTCAAGAGCTTAAGTTTTTTTTGTTTTTGTTTTTCTACCCTCCTTTCTTTAGGGCTCACTGTCAGACTTTCTTAAGGCTAATGTGGTCTCTTGGAATGAACTGTGTCATATTGCAGAAACCATGGCTAGAGGGTTGGCATATTTACATGAGGATATACCTGGCCTCAAAGATGGCCACAAACCCGCAATATCTCACAGGTAGAGCAAAATTTATTTTGTTTTTCCAGATGATTCAGAATATGTTTATGGTTTAATAAGCTTTTAAATCCTTGAGTAAAATTAATTTTTCCCTTAGTTATCCAGTCATGCCCTAGGAGGCAGATGATTTTCATTTATTTTTTTAAATTAGCTTTGATAATGGCCAGGAAGTATTTTGGGAAATGTATATATTAACATCATTAGTTAAGTTTAATTATCTCCGTATTTCTTAATTTAGTCTCATTTCTAAAACCATAGTTGAGAATGAAAGTATATTTTCTTAACTCAAAGGAAAAATAAATTTATTTTAATTCAAGTCAAGATTTAAGGTGATTTTAAATAGATTCAAGGGGATGTAAATGAAGGAAAGTTTTTGAGTGTATCTTTTTGTTTTTCTTTTTAAATTAAAAAAATATATATTTTTTTATTGTAGTACTGGGGAGTGAAATCCAGGTTCCAGGGGTACTTTACCACTGAACTACATCCCCAACCCTTTTTATTTTTTATTTTGAGACAGGATCTTGCTAAGTTGCCCAGATTAGCTTTGAACTTGCAGTCCTCCTGCTTCAGCCTCCCAAGTCTTTGGTACTACCATGTCCAGCTCTTTGCTTATTTTTTGAATTATCTTATATTATTTTTTTTAGCTAAGGTCAAAGGAGACATCATTCAAACAATTGTCAGTGAGATGGTAATATCCAGACAGTTGTCATTGCTCAGAAGGCAAAATATTTTTCCTTAAAACATTGATTCAGTTTGCTATGTATTTAACTTCCTTCAACATGGGATTCAGTTTGTCATCTTGTATTCAATTTAACAGTGGTTGTTTTAAAAGTAGGCACTGACTGATTCATTTAACAAATATTTAGTTGATTATCACCAGGTGGTATTTTAGGTTACTGGGAGACATTATTTTAACCCTATGTCTTATATATAGATTCTGGTTTGGCTTAATGGCTCCTTTTTCTTCTCACCTTCCTACATGCACTGTCTTCCATACAGGGAACGATTTAATCCTTTGGAGTCCCAAAGGTTATTAGGAGTAGGGGCCCTGAAAATCCTGAATTTCAAGCTGTTTTTTGGAACATCCATATATACCTGTCCCTTTGCTGTTTCCTGTGACTGTACACATGCCATTTGTCATGGCAAAGATGTATTTAATTAGAGTAGAGTAATCTCTAGGATGAACTGGTTGAGGCAAGTGTGTAGAGGAAGACATCTTCCTATTTCAAAACTGTTACCCTTTTCAGAATACAGGATACAGCTAGAGTAGCATATGTTTATGATAAAATGTGTTATATATCCTAGAGATGTTAAATATCCTAGAGATGTTTTTCTACAATTGGGTGAAAAAATATAAGAACCACTAACTACACTAAGGGAGTATTCTAAAATATAGGTCTATACAGTTGACAAAAGGACACAATTTAGCTTTTTTTTAAAAAAATTCTTTAGTTTTTAAAAATTTTATTTTTTTTGGAGTTTGTTACTGTAAACTTTGAAATATTCTTAACCTCTTAAATCATAGCAGTTTTATTATTGATATGTGAGAATGACATAGATAAAGTGTTTTTGGAATGGCATTTCTTTATAAAACTGCTTTATGGAGAGGATTTCTTCTTCTATCTGTGTTAGGAATAGGAGTTTTGTTACTTTACTCTTGTGCTGTATGGGGTCTCTGCTTAAGGTTCTTCTTTTCTCTTTTCCTTGCATGTCATATTTTAACTACTATTTTATAGCATAGACATTCTCCTTCTTTCCGATTATGAGCAAAAAATTTAAAAGATAACTTGTTGAAACTTAATTGTACTATCTTTATATTTGCAAGGGACATCAAAAGTAAAAATGTGCTGTTGAAAAACAATCTGACGGCTTGCATTGCTGACTTTGGGTTGGCATTAAAATTTGAGGCTGGCAAGTCTGCAGGTGACACCCACGGACAGGTAAGGAAGGGCGGTAATTATAACATGTAACAAAAAATAAATATGTCTCATATTTTCGACTGGCATATCAAGATTGAATTGGTATAAATTGTTGTGGAGATTAAATTAGCATCCAATCAAAAGTTATATGTTACATTTTCTGAGGAAAATGTCATTTTCATATTGTGGTGGAGGACTCAGGTGGTTTAGAGTACTACTTCATAATGTAACTCCTAGATGTTACAGGATTTTTTTTTTTAAAAAGTGGATCACGGAAGAACCCACCTTTTTTGAAGGACCGCATTCTTAGGGATATCTTCTTATTAACTCAGTAGTTTTAATTCTTTTATTCTTTCACCGTCCTGTGGTATAGAAGAAAAATCAGCCATTATTCTTGCTTCAGTGTATTAAGATCCCCTTCCCATTTTTGTATCCAACAATTTCTTGCTTTATTTTTTGTTTCTTGCTTTTCTTTATTGTTTCACTCACTCCTTAATCTACTTTCTGTGAATTCTCTCCAGAATACAAAGCCCTTGTATAGGCCTAAGTGAGGTACCTAATTAATTAAAGTCTATACAACAAGAATTTGGCAGTGGAAACCTTATAGAAAGGCCAAAGAGAAAAGATTGTCTGTACATTTTATTCTCAGAAGCTGTGAGTCTAGGAAAGATGTTTTCACTCCTATAAGATAACCTTTTTTCAAGAAAACCAGTTTAACCTGATAGGTGACATTTCCTATGAAGCAAATGATTCATTGGCTTTAGTGTTAAATTTTGTTATACAATTTTTGGTCAGCTATTTATGAGCTTTATTTTTTTCAGCATATCCTCAGGTTTCTAAGAACGTAGTTGTAAACAGTCATGGTACACAAATTTTGCCAATGTTGACTAACAATTAAAAAATTTAGGGCAGTGGTCAGCAGTCACAGAACTCTACAGAAGTTGACACCAAATCTCTTTAGAAATGGAGACACTTTTGTGGCAAATACTACCAAGATGGATGTTATGTAGAAAGCCTGGGGACAAACCTCTGTACTTCTGTACTTCTTATGACTCACTGTCATAAGATGAACTTTTGGAAAGTATCATCCTTGGTACCTCATAAGCCCCTCTAGCATTTTTTTTCTGAGAAAAACTGGGGGACTCACTTATGTCAACTTTTAATTCATATGGTTGGATAAAAATAACCAATTACTTATACCAGTTGATCCTTGACTTTAGATTTTATGTACCAGAAAATTGGAACACTATTTGAAGGTACTTGCATGTTATTGTAAATTTTATATATTGCAAAGAAAGAACCCTGGGGAAAAATACAAATTTTCATCTATTATCAATTTATAAAAGAGAATATTTTAGGCTAAAAATTTAGATAAGCCATGATCTTATAACAAAAGAGAACTTCAGATGGCATACATTTATCTTTAAGAGAAAAAAGGAGGACAGAATGGGAGAAAATCTTTGCCAGCAACTTTTCAAAAAGAGGATTAATATCCAGAATACATAAAGAACTCAAAATACTTCTCCTCCCTCAAAAAACCCCTACAACCCAATCAATAAATGAGCAAATGAGCTAAATATACACTTCTCAAAATAAGAAATACATATGGCCAAGAAATATGTGAATAAAGATTCAATGTCTTTAGCAGTGGGAGAAATGTAAATAAAAACTATATTGAGATTTCATCTCCCTGCAGTTAGAATAGTGGTCGTCAAGAATACAGATATTAATAAATGCTGGCAAGGATGTGGAGGTATGAGGAGCCCTTATACACTGTTGGTAGGATTAGTGCAGCCACTGTGGAAATCACTATGGAGGTTTCTCCAAAACTAGAAATGGAACCACCATATGACCCAACAATACCACTTCTCAAGTATTTGTCTAAGAGAATTAAATACTATAGTGATCTATGCATACTTACGTTTATAGTAGTACAATTCACAATAGCCAAATTATAGAACCAGCCTATGTACTCTTCAGCAGATGAACATATAAAGAACATGTGGCATACACACACACACACACACACACACACACACACACACACACACAATAGAGTTTTAGTTAGCTATAAAGAATGGAATTATGTCATTTTCAGGAAAATGGATAGAACTTGAGAACATAATGTTAAGCAAAATAAGCCAAACTCAGAAATGTGGGTTTTTTTTCTCATACGTGGAAGCTAGAGAGAGAGAAAAAAAAAAAGAAAGTTGGGGGAGGATCTCATGAAAATAGAAAGGAGACTACAGGATAGAGAAAGGGGAGCAGGGGAGGGAGGAGGAGAGGGAAAGGGGAGGTACTGGGGAATGAAATTTATTATGTGTGCATATGTATGAAGATGTAATAGTGAATCCCACTGATATGTATAGTTATACTGCACCAATAATTTTTTTTTTAAAGTAGGCTTTTGGGAGGTGTTAATTTGTAGTATAGTTATTCAGAAGAGGAAAAAAATTAAAAGCTACCTTTTCTTTCTTTAAAGTGTTCTCCTTATTAAATAAATTGAATATTCAAAACTTCAGAGTTTAGTGATCTGTCCTTATTTATTTATTTATTTTTAACATCTGTGCTGTGTGTGTTTTTTTGTGTGTGTTATTCATGTAACTCCCCAACTTCTAGTGTGGATTAGGAATCACAGTCACCTAAGGATGGAGCTTTTTGAAAATAGCAATAGCTCAGCTGCTCAGTAGATCTACTAAAACTCAAGTATATTGTGGTCTACCTTATATGTCACAAAACTTTTTAAAATATCACATAAGAATGTTGTCAGGCACCAAATAGAGCTAGCTGTACTAGCTTAGTAACCATAGTGATAGCACTAAGAAATACCAAGTTGTTGGGCACAGGCTTGGTTAAGTATTTTTAAAACATTTTATAATATCTATCATTGAAGCCCTCAAAAAAAGAGGTTTCTTAAAGATAACTTTTCAAATATTTGCAAAGGTACAGTTGAAAACTATGCAGCTTTCTCTGTTCCATCCTTCTCCCACTGTTGTTCATTACCTTGTGATTACTTCTAGAAAGGGAAAAACTCTAAATCTTTATCAGAATAACATCTGTTGATATATTTTTTTTTAAGTAAACTCACACATGATCTTACTATGTATATATGCTATAATTTGGTGTTCATAATTTAGTTGCTTTACCCTGATAGTAGACCATATGTGGTTTTGATTCTTAAAAAAATGTAAAATGTTAGTTCATAAAGTTAATGAATGAGTACTGTTTGATTTCAAAATATTTTTCAGGTTGGTACCCGAAGGTATATGGCTCCAGAGGTATTAGAAGGTGCTATAAACTTCCAAAGGGATGCATTTTTGAGGATAGATATGTACGCCATGGGATTAGTCCTGTGGGAACTGGCTTCTCGCTGTACTGCTGCAGATGGTAAGGGAAAAAAATATTTTGTTTTAAAAAGTACATATGCCACATTTATGAAGTGGATGGTTACATTCAAAGGTAATAAAGTACATTTCTGTTTTAATAACCAAGAGATGGTAGAGAATTCAGGAGGCAGGGAAGGAGAAAGGATGGGACAGGGAAGAAGGGAACTGGTCAGTGTTTGCTTCTTTACTGCTGCTAGATGTTTTGTTGGATATTTCACATACTTTTAGCTTATTTCCTAAAACCACTGTGGAGGTAGTTATTATCACAATTTTACAGGTGACCAAATTGTTTCAAGGTAATTGATGAAACTTATATTTGTGATTCTGATCCAGTTGTAAAGAAAGAGCTGCTACTTCAGCTAGGTCATGTAGGTCCTGCTTGTCTGGTTCTCAAGTCAACTATTTTGGTAAGAGGACATGTATGTAAAGTGGGAGGGCCTTCTGACTGCCTTTCAAGACTCTGAGGCTGAGTCTGTTTAGCACTCAGGAAATGCCAGCATATCGTTAACCATATTAAATTTTAGTTTTATCCTCTAAGACAGAACTGTGATCATGCTTTCACATGTACCACAGATAAAATTCTGCCCCCTAAAACTTTGAAGGTTTGACCTGACATAGACATTAGTCATATTCTCTACCACAGCAGGGTGGCTCTAAAGGGTTTCTTATTCTTTGTTCTTGTTATTGAAAAGTTCTTCTTTAAATCTTATAAGCATTGGGTATTTATTTATTGGTTATAAATCTGCATACCATATTTATAATGTAAAAACTATAAAGTTCTACATATTTGATCTTTAGCGCTCCTTCATAAGGTCTGTACTCTGTCTCAAATATGTGGTAGTACTCTTTTTGGATAAGACAAACTTCCTGTTAAACTTCCAAACAAATTTAAATGAGCTTGATCTTTTTTTCTTTTAATTACCTAAAAACTTCTTCTAGGTGTCAAAAACCATAGAAAAAATATGTTGAATATTTCAAAAGGTATAACCAATTAAGAATATTTTACTTTCTAAATATTGTTAAAGGCTCTCCGTGTACAACAAACTTCCTCTGAAATGTGAAATTTGATTTAGGGGACTACACTTTTAAAGGAAACTGAAAAGTTCCCTTTAAACCAGCTAGCTCTGGTTGGTGCTTGACAACATTCTTATGTGATATTTTGAAAAGGTTTGTGACATATAGAGGTAGACCACAAGATACTTTGAGTTTTAGTAGATCTACTGAGCTGTTTAGAAATCTGTTCAGAAATGGACAGATCTATTTCTTTAGGATTGGGGTGGGTCCAGAACCTAAGAAAGGTTGAAGCAACTTGAGAATAACTTTTAGCTTTTAAGTGTATAAGAAAACACATAAGCTGTTTGTTTTGACTCAAAAGTAGAAGTAATATTACAATTATTACATGCATTTATGGAAATGGAAGTAGGTCAAGGAAAGATGTCATAGGAAAATACATTTTATAAGAACTTTAATATGAATTTTTCATAGTAAACCATTGGATTGGGTGTCATAGGGGACATAAAGCCCAGTCTTCAAGTAATATACAGTTAAGGTAATAAAAAACATTCTGGACAATTAACTCTAAAGTAAGTGAATTATCTAGCCCAGTGCCTGGTACCTAGACATTCAGTAAATGTTTTGAGATGAATGTAACTACCATAACACAAGGCAGTGTTATGGTAGTTCATAGGAGAAATTGATGGTGAAGAAGAATCATCAGGGAGTATTTTATGGAAAAAGAAAAGAGTAAATGCCTTCTATTCTTAAATGCTTCATATGTGCAATGACACAATTAGAATCAGGTACTTCTGACTCTTAATAAGTCAGAAATTGGGGCCAAAGGGACAGTGTGGGTGCTTTTAAATTTGTTGGTGACTAGTTGTTGATGGTTAAATTTGGTGATTTTTTTCCACATATAAATATGCATATCAGACTCCTGGAAATCTTGTTAAAATTGAGATTCTGACTCAGTGGTCTATGTTGAGGCCAGAGCATCCACATTTCTGAAAAGGCATCACCTAAGGCCAGTGGTGCTGACCTTTAGATGCAAGGTTGAACAGACATACCTTAGAACATCAGTACTGTCACTGGAGGTGTTCAAGCAGAGACCAACTGTCCAGGCATCAAAGATTCTTGTTTGTGGAGACCTAATGACTTCTTGGTGATTCATTATATCTGCCCAGCAATAATTGTGCTTTTTAGACTGCACAAGACTTGTATCTGTCTGGTCAATGAAATAGCTCAGTATTGACTGTCAAGAGGAGCTAATGTAGTGATAAAAAAGCAGACTTAGATGAATTCAAATTCCATGGGATAGCTGTGTGCCTTTGTGCAAATTTACATAAAAATTTCTGAACTACCTATCTGCAAAATACAGATAGTGCACCTTCACCTTGTGAAGGCAAAACAGTGATAAATTATATATGTAATACAAGTTTCTGGTCAGAATAGCTGCTCATTGAATCTTAGTTATTATTAACTCTTATATTAGTTATTATTAACTCTTATATGAATAGGTAAAAGAAAGAATTATTATTGAATACATTTTATCTGTGAAGGTACATTGACTTGTTGGGAACCCTGGTTAGAGATAGTTGTGACTTAAAAAATTTAACGTAAAATGAATATTAAAATATTAAAGTTATTAAAAAATATTAAAGTTATTGTGAGGAAAGGTAGAGAAGAGGTGTGACTTTGACGTGTTTTAGTTCCTCATAGGGGACATGTAGTGGGGGTTGAGTTTGCCACAGAATAAAGGTGGTTATAACACATTTAACCGAAAATCTTCAGAGGTGGAAACATCACTGCTAACCTTTCACTCTGATATGCAAGAAGGAGTGGGTCCCTTAAAGAAGAGTGTAAGTGTAGTTGCTCTCTTGCTCTTACTGTCATTACAGCAGGTGGAATTGGAAAAAGGTAATTCAGAATATATTTTAGAAAGTTTATACCAGTTTGGAAGTCAGGAAGATTTTAATTAAAATGACCACCCCTGTTTTTTGGTTTTACATTTCAGGACCTGTAGATGAGTACATGTTGCCATTTGAGGAGGAAATTGGCCAGCATCCATCTCTTGAAGATATGCAGGAAGTTGTTGTACATAAAAAAAAGAGGCCTGTTTTAAGAGATTATTGGCAGAAACATGCTGTAAGTTACTCAGCTTTTCATTTGAAATTTGAATAAAACATTTTTCAGAGGCATGATTTATTCTCTGCACATTTCTTGGAGGACTTTCTGGGAAGGTGATCTTCACACAGGATATTCCATACTACAGTGCAAAAGTCACTTTATCAGGGCTTTGTGTACTAACTAGGGAGATGGTAAAGTCACAGAGCCTTATAAGGCTCATCTCTATAATTCTGTGCATGTATCTTCTATTTGGAAACCTTCTTTAAAAAAAGAATGATTGATTCTGGGCCTGTGGACAGCTAAGTAACTTTGTTGATCACTACCTTTCATATGATGTCATTTTTAAATGTATTGAACAGCATCAATCCATCAAATCACTATGGGAGTTTTTTCAAAAGCCTTTTGATTTAGGCTTAGATTTTGAAGTTCATAAGAATACTTTAAAATTATAGATTAGGAGGCTGGGATTATAGCTCAGTGGTAGAGTGCATGCATGAGGCACTGGGTTCTATCCTCAGCACACATAAAAATAAGTAAATAAAATAAAAATATTTTGAAAAAGAAATAAACTCATCTGTCATTAAAAAAATTATAGATTAGGCAGAAGATGGTATAGTATATTATTGCCTTGATTGTTTTGGTCCAAGTATAATTAGAAATGTGGATAAAGCCAGGTAGAGATCCTGAAGGATCACCTTCTAATTTTGTATTAAATTTCAAGATGGAAATGCTGATATTAGCTAAGAAAAAGATGAAAAATAGTATAACCTCCATTACCCTTGCTTTTGAGTGTAGTTCAAGGTTGCATTGAAATGATCTGGTTTATGAAAAATGGATAGGAATTTTTGGAATTAAAAAATATTCCTGTTGTAGTAGTGTCCAGTACTTAAATATTTATTTTCTTCTTTGTGCTTCTCTTTCATGGACTTGCATATCATCAGTAAAAAAATGAATGTTAAATAATATCATACTTTGGTAATTTTGAAATTTCCTTGGCCTACAAAAAGCAATTTATGAAAATTTTACTCTAATTTCTAATAGAAACAATTGTTGTGGTGTTTGACCATGTTTTTCTCCTCTTAGGGAATGGCGATGCTCTGTGAAACGATAGAAGAATGTTGGGATCATGATGCAGAAGCCAGGTTATCAGCAGGATGTGTAGGTGAAAGAATTACCCAGATGCAGAGACTCACAAATATCATTACTACAGAGGACATTGTAACAGTGGTCACGATGGTGACAAATGTTGACTTTCCTCCCAAAGAATCTAGTCTATGATGGTTGCATCATCTGTACACACTGAGCAATGGGACTCTGAACTGGAGCTGCTAAGCTAACAAACTGCTTACAGTTTTATTTTCTGTGTGAAATGAGTAGGATGCCTCCTGGAAATATAAGAAAGCAGCCCCTTGTTGAAAAATGTGGCTCTGGGAGACTACTGCATTGCCTGTAGCACAGACGTGAAGGCCATGAGGCTAAGAGAAAAATTGCAAACTCTATAAAGAAACTTTTGAGAAAATGTACATGAAGAATGTGGCCCTCTCCAAATCAAGGATCTTTTGGACCTGGCTAATCAAGTGTTGAAAACTGACATCAGATTTCTTAATGTCTGTCAGAAGACACTAATTCCTTAAATGAACTACTGCTATTTTTTTTTAAATCAAAACTTTTCATTTCAGATTTTAAAAAGGGTAACTTGTTTTTATTGCATTTGCTGTTGTTGTTTCTATAAATGACTATTGTAATGCCAATATGACACAGCTTGTGAATGTTTAGTGTGCTGCTGTTCTGTGTACATAAACAAAGTCATCAAAGTGGGGTACAGTAAAGAGGCTTCCAAGCATTACTTTAACCTCCCTCTCAACAAGGTATACCTCAGTTCCACGGTTGCTAAATTATAAAATTGAAAACACTAACAAAATTTGAATAATAAATCGATCCATGTTTTGTAACAAGGTATCACAAATTCACTGTGTTATTTAAGAAAAAAAAAAAGTAAGCTGTGCTTAGTGCCAATAGTAAGTGGCCATTCGTAAAACAGTGTTTTAGCTTTTCTTGTGCTGGCTTGTAACTTAGGGAAAAGTGTTTTTTGAAATGAAAAAAATGGTGTCATTTTCCCCTTACCGTATTTTAAAGCTTCATCTTATATCCATATCCCAAAATATTGCATTCATACCTAAGTATTTTTTTTTAAAGGTGTGCTGTGTTTGGGGAATGAGTATTTGAAAAATTTAAAGCATGATTTAAATTTTTTTAAATGAGCTGTGACACTGGAAAGCTCTTTTTATCTTTTCAAAGTCTTTTGTTTTTTCCTATTTATATATGTAAAACTGTAGTGTTTTTCTTTTCACCAAAACAGTGTGTGGGATATTTTTTATCACTGTCTTAGGACCACCTCAGGAAGTGTCATTACCCAGAATTCCTCACTCTCTGCTTTGAGACTTGTAACTTTTATCACTTCTGCTTGGTGCCATCTTGTCAGAGTAATATTTGACGTCTGTGATATGTAAAGAATTATCTTAGGACAGAGATATTAATTAACTTTAAGCACAGATTTCAGATGTTACTGCTTTAAAACCAATCAGGGATAACAAAGTTATAACTTAAAAATATGCAATGACATTTAGAGGTAACCAGTGTTGATGTAACATAGCTTAGCCTCCTCCCCCAAATTGCTTTTACAACTAACTTGGATATTAATTTAGGATAGTTCATGCCTTATCCTTGCTAAGAAAATGGAATTGATGGTAGGTAGGTGCCAAAGTGCTTTTTCAAACAATACTGTATTGGAGTATAATTGGATGCTTCTTAAAACTTACTTATATAGGCCAAAGTAAAACATTAATTTCCTGAATTTCTAGATTACTAGCCAAGAAATAGCCAGGATTATGCTATACTTTTTGTCAGATCATTTTGAAATCCATACATAAACTTTAAAAACAGATTTTTTTACATGTCACCATCAGGAGCTTACTGTGAATACATTATCTTCAAATGGTTATTTAACCACACAGTACACTACATTTTACATGTAAAATGCACTTAATCTCTGGGAAGAATAAATTATTATTTATACACAAAACATAGGCCAACAGACTCTAAACAGGGAGGAAAAGGAGAGTAATAGCATTCTTGTCTGTGTGCCACATCCCATACAGATCTGTTTATGTTTTTATATCGTGTGTGTACCCAAGGTCTCACTGTATTCCTAAGAATTCCCATTTCAGTGTTTACCATTTCAAAAAGTACTTGGCCCCTCTCAAATTCTTGACTTATATTTTCTTCCATCTGGAAACTAAACAAGGAGAAAATATGGAAAATGTGCAATCAAGAAAACAGTTAAAGACAGATTTCTACCTGTTGTAAGCATTTAACCCTTTTAAAACTTAAAAAAAAGGGATAATATGAATGTGGCTTATGAGAATACTAGAGATAAATTTTATAAGACCAGTTATTCACAATATAAAACATTTTGTCTTCATGTTACATTTTTTTAAAAACAAATTCTGGGTATTGTACTTAAGTCTAACCAATTTTAAAACTTGTATCCTTCTGAAAATATATATTTAGAAAATCTTTCTTTTTATAAGCAGTAAAGAAAGAATGTTCCAGTGACTGCTTGTCCTGATACATAATCTTACTAAAACTTTCTTTTTGCAGGGCATTGGTTTATAATCAGTGTAGAGGGGGCAAGTTAAAATTTAAGCTAGGGATACTGGAAAAAAGATCAAAGGATGAAAAAATGGTGATTTATTTGGGGGCAAACTAAGACCCCCCCCCCACACACCCCAATAACTTTTCCTCGTGTGTATGGTGCTCCTCATGATGTCTTGTTCTTTGCCTTTCTGATACCTATCAGAAGTGCTGCTCTCACTCACTTTTCACCTTACCCAGATTTCCCTTGTAAGAAATCCTTTATGATTAACTGCCATAGGACTGATGGATTAACCAGTGTTTGGCTTTATTTGAAGTCTAGGCCCTGCAGAGATCTTGTATGTATTTTAGATGCTAGGAAGTTTTTAGCATGTGATATGTGATTCCTGTTTGGATGTTTTTATTACAGGTACCTTGTGAATTCCAGAAAAGAGACTGTGCCTCACAAGTGTTGGTCCCATGACCTTGCACTATCTTTCATGGTGACCTTTTGAAAATACAATCAGGAAAAACACCAACACCTTTGGAATTTAGGAATAGAATCATAATCACGAAATTAAAGAGACTCTTTTGCCCCTTTCCTTGCCCCTGACCAACAACTACATTTAAGTAAAATGTAGATGGTTTGGAAAAACTGGTCAGATGGTAGTTTAGTGGAATAAACTGATTACTGTTTTTTAAAAAATGCTTCATCATAGATATTTTCCAGTTTGTCTTTTTTACTTTTTGAAAAATTACTTTTTAGGAACATTTGGTATAATGTGCATAAAATAATTTAAAATTTTTGGGCAAAATGATACAAGTAGCATCTTGATTGAACATCATTTACCTCAGATATTCAACCAGCAGTACGTTTTTTATGCAGTCTCAACCCATATCCCTATTTGTTACCTCTCAAAATATCGGTGAGCAATTATTTTAGCTTTACTCTGTATTTCTTGTCAGTGTTTCGGGCACAGGTTGTTGTACTACTGTCAAATCATACTTGCTATTTTTTTCTGCAAGTATTTATTTAACAGAAAGTTAAAAACAACATACACGCAAACCCTCCTCCCCCAGTAAAACCCCATCTTGGTTAAGTGATTGTTAAATATTGTAAAAATAAAATGTATGCTATCCCCATTCAATCCCCAAGTTAAATAAAAAAGTGAATATGGTATGATTTGCATATGCAGTTTTTCTTTAGCTATGTTTTTAAAGAGGGGAATGGTAGCTTTGTAATTTATTGTGAGGCTTCCGCATTAAGAATTGTAAGAATGGGGATAGTGGTGAAAGGAGGTTTGTAGCATTCTCCTCCTTTATCTAAACAGACTGTATTTGCACCCAAGTATATATGGTGGACCTGCCAGCATTAGGCAGCCAGAGGCCTGTTGGCATTGTAGAACAGTTCATTCCAACAGATTATCAGTTTTTTTTTTTTAGGATAAAAAGGAAGGAAAGGGCAGCACTTAGGTAATGGTGGTTTGACAGAAATTGCAGTGCCTTCTAAACCAAATGAAAATGCAAACCATGGTGGGATGTGCATGAATTCTCTTAAAAAACTGAACTTTCCAAAGCATGCTCTTCCAAAAACTGAATCTTCAGGGACCCGATATTATTCTTTTGACACAAATGGCATTACAATAAAAATTTAGATAACATGGGTTTTAATTTCTTACTAACCCAGGCATACATTTGAATCAGGTCTTTGAACAAGGTTTTTTGGTGGGCCACTTGGGAAGGAATATAATAAGTTAATATTGCTCTGAAATAAAACTCCTCATTTGCTTTTCAGTCTGATGATTGAGGGAAGTTTGAGTTTTGTTTTTGCTATAATTCCTCCTAAGAAATAATGTAGGTATCTTTAAGCTATGCTTCTAAGTTTTACATTGTTTTTTAAAAGTTTTTTTTTTTAAACTAGAGCTTTTCAGATTTGTTTTTTGTTTAACTTACATAGTTAACCAGTTTATGAAATCAAGTTTCCCCACAAAAATGCCTTTGAGATGTAGCCATATCACTTGTACAATATTTCTGCTAGTCCCCCTGCCATTTGCTTTTAACTGTCATATTTTACTATAATCACTTACTGCCTCTTAGTTTTTAACTCATGTACCTTGTTGTTGATGGATCTTCTATAGTTTTTACACAGCCAGGAAAGCACATGAGGGCTCTCAGCTTTCAAGTGGCACGAAAACCTAATAAAAATTAGGAATGCTCACATCATTTCATTAGGCTCACTCTTTAAGGTGGAAATACTTTCTTCACATAGTTCAGAAAAACTTTCAAAGGGAAAAATAAAGCTTAAAATTCTTCCCTCTAGTAATAATAGTAATGCTACTGTTTTAAGTATTTTGGCAAATGAGCTAGAAATTCATGGACTATGGCACAGAACTAGTATGCATGCCTTAGTCTTAATGAGACATTGCTGAAAAGTAAATGAGAAATCATAAAAGTAAATGATTCTGGACACTGCCATTATTCGGTCACTTTCCTTATCTGTAAATAACAGTACCTAAATCCCATAGGGCTTCTGACAGTTAAATGGTTATACATTGCACAAGGATAGGGAATGTATTATAAACATTTTTCCATGACATGATATGTAAGCAAATACTTTTTGAACAAAGGAAGTTACTATTACTTCTTGAGTGCTTATTACATTTCATTTTAAACATAAATCTGTGTTAGTTCCTGGATTCTTGAATCTATAAAGCAATCCTTTAACTGACATTCTTACTTTTTGAAATAAATATTCAGCTAATGCTGTCCAACACTGTCCAATATCTGTGAGAATAATTTTCCAGGAATCTCTGACAATACTTGTTCAACAGGCAAATTCTGATCCTCTTTGACTACGGCACGTCTAAGAATGTACATCTAAAGAAAATCCTACAAGGGATTCTGATGTAGATGGTCAAAGTACCACATTTTTAGAAGTTGAGAAAAGAAATAGTCAAGTTCCTTGGCCTTTTTCTTCCAAGTGAACCACCCTCTGGCTAACCTTGTCAATTTCCTAAAGTAGAGGACCTGAAGTCTGGATAGAATCCCAAATTTACACATGTACAGAAATTTTTAAAAATATGCAATACCACTACTGGAACCAAAAGGCGATCGCATTTATTTATTTATTCACATCAATTCTTATGTTTCTTTACTGATTTTTAAGATTTGTAAAAATATCAGGATGTTTGGCAGGAATGAACTCTTCAAATGTACCACACAGATGCTTAACAAGTGTTAAATAACCACCTGATTCAATCCTTAGAGCAGTCACATTTTATTCTTTTTAACTGCTTATAGGACAATCTAAATTGATCCCTGGAATTACAAATGACAAAAATACTCATGATCCAAAGGCAAGACACAGAGCTAAGACATCACACGTCCAACAGTTGTTCATAAATACAAAAATTTTTATAAATATAAAGGAATATAATAACATTTCTTGTTACAACGACAGCAGCTTTTAGTTCTTTGGAGGTGTATGCCTGAAATGCTGAAAGCCATGTTCATAACCAGCTTAATGAGGATGTTGCCCACTGCCTAACATCTGTAGGACAGTTGGGGTATTTCTGCAGAGCATTCATAATTTGAGTATTATCCAAAAGCAGTTTCATCAGCTGGTACTCTCTCTGTGAATTTACTGAAGTTCTTTCCATAGGCTTTATTAATTCTAATTGTTGTAAGTGTTCAAATGCCTGAAAGATGAAACAAATAGTTGAGGATGAACAAGGGAAAAAAGTAGCAAAGTTAGCCCAGAAAATAGGGTAATGGAATTGAGTGCCAAAAAAAAGCCCAACAACAACAACAAAAAAAAAACCCCAGCACAATAGGAATCAAAGGATTAACAAGAAACAAAGCTTTTATCAACCCCATAAAAACTTCATATTATGTAAAAACAGTGTCAGTGCAGTTATCTTTTCCTAAAGTGTTGAATATAAACAAGGCAAATTTTAACTCAGTCTTTATAACAAGGTCTTGTTCTTCATTCTACATCATAGTTCCTTCTGTACATTTTTTTGGTGCTAGAGATTGAACACAGGGCCTCATGTATGCTAAGTACCCACTCTATCCTTGAGCTACATCCAGGGCCCTTCCTGTGGCATTTTAATTAACAAGGGTTTCTAGTTTTCTTCTCTATAGAAGTGTAAGAATATGATAAGACTTGATTACCTGGTTACTCAAATTTGCATTTTTTTTATTTCTGCCATCTGTAAGACTTTGCTGTATAAAAATTAAGCACAGCTGTAATAAAGATGGAGGGAGGAAATTCCTGTGAGTATACTAAGACTATTTAGGTGATCCTTTAGTTTAGATTCTGCAGAATGGTACAGACATGGACATTCTTTTGAAGAGTACCACTGAGACTGTCAAACCTGTCAAGAAGTTCTGTTCCATGTTCCATCTTCCTGACCCTTTTTTCAAAAAATGTTTTAGTTGTAGTTGGACACAATACCTTTATTTTTTATTTATTTATATGTGGTGCTGAGGCTCAAACCCAGGGTAGGTGAACACTCTACTGCTGAGCCACAACCCCAGACCCATCTTCCTGACCTTAATAGAGCCCTTCACTGTCTACTTCTTCTTGCTTCTAATATTCACATATTACTGTCTCTTTTAAACTTGATGTTTTAGATGTTAGGGTATTAAAAAATCATTGAATTGGGCTGAGGATGTGGCTCAAGTGGTAGCGCGCTTGCCTGGCATGCGTGTGGCCTGGGTTCGATCCTCAGCACCACATACAAACAAAGATGTTGTGTCCGCAGAAAACTAAAAAATATTAAAAAAATAATTCTCTCTCTCTTAAAAAAAAAACAACAAACCATTGAATCATGTTGTACTAATCATTAAATACACTGAATTAGATTCTTGAGCATTATATCCTTACAGTTCATTGTGAAAAAAATCAGGAATATACTCTATCATAAAATTCTTCTGATGAAAAGAAAAAAAGAGACCTTTTATTTCTGAAAATGAGAAAATACTGGATGTTGCAGATGTTGAGACTGAACAAAACTGAAATTTACCATATTTCTATGCAGTAAAAATACAACCTTATTTGAAATATAGAACGAAGCTGCTGGATATTATTTGTAAAAATTCAAATGCTCAGGTAATATTACTACATTTCACAATTCTCATAACCATGACTATTAGATATGGAGTTAGGAGAAAAAAATTTGGTCTTGCAGCATGCTAAATACTTTTCTTCTTTCAATGAAGAAATGACAAGGCTCTATATTCAATTTTTATTAGACAAAAAAAATGTAGGGGTCCAGTGCTTAAAAAAAGAAAAAAAAATTCATTAAATTTGAAACTTGTTTAGACAACTGTTTATAACAATCTCAAAGTATAAATCTACTTTTTAAAGCTATAACTTAATGAATTTAAACAAGTTTCTAATGAGTATTTAGTAAACTGTGAACTGCTATAATTATGTGCAAAAACACACCAAATTCCAAATATGAGACAAAAAAACACTGCATTAAAAGTTTCCTATTTGATTAAAGAGTTTGAAATATTTTTAATATATGGGATAATTATATTATTAAAGTTAGTTTCACCTTTTATTTCCTGTGGCAACTAGAAAATCCTGGTCCACATCTTTCTAGTAGACATCATGAAATAATGAAGCCTTTGAGTTTTAAACTCATGCCTCACCTACTACCTAAATAAAACTTTGTATATGTGTCCACCAACTAACAGGATTTTGTCCATTAAGTTTCTTAATGGCATTAGTCTGCATTTTTGTCTCCTTATACTGCTGAAATTATAAAGCCAACTCAGGTTGGAAAAGGACAGGATTACTATATTTGATGTGTTTTGATAGACTATAATAAACAGCTCCTTGGTAGAATGCAAATACTAACAACAGACAGCAGAGGGCAGCACAGTCCAACAAACTGTCAAACTGGCTGCCTTCAGAATGACTTGAAAGTTCATTTCATTTCTGGATAATTTTTGTCTGAAAAAAATTCCTACAGTAAGAACCTAAAGTTTAAAACTCAAAAGTGAAACCTTGATCTATATAATCAAACTGTATCTAAAAAAGGTACCTGTCTGCAAGAAAACAACAGTAAACCAAATCTTACCTTCATGACAACAGGTTTCTCAAAATTATACACAGAATGGGCCTTTCTTTGAACAAACTTCTGAAATTCTGGAGAGAGCGCAAAGACAACATTAATATCTTCAAATAGGCATCAGGGGAAAATCAGAAAGAAACTACTAAAGTCTCATCTCACCATTATAGACCATTTGAAAATTAAAGGGCTCCTCTTCATAGATATCATTTAAATGTTTCATTGCTATTATAAGACAGATTTCTAAGACTGATAGACCTGTAATAGGAAAAGAGAAACATACCAAAAAATGTAGTTCAATGATATATAAGATTGAGACACCTGTCTCCAAAGAGTAAATAAAGTGAAAGATCATGGTTTTGAAGGATGGAGGAGGGAGAGGTCATTTTCTAACTTTAAATGTGTTTCATTCACTATTATCTATGTAAACTTAAGCAAATCATTTTACCTGCTATATTTTTTATTTGCATTTGCAAAGTAAGAATCTTTCTAAACTTAGAACTGCCATAAAGAGACGATATATCAAGCACTAACAGTAAAACAACAATGAGAAACTATGATTATTATGAGATTTCAAATCACAAAAGGACCTTGAATGAGATTTACTCAGAGAATCCCCAAACTCCTGGAAAGTATTCAAAATTGTGTGTGTATCCTTCCCTCTCCCAGAGAGAACGCTCACTGCATTTATAAAAGGGATAATAAACAAATGATTTCAATGCTAATAAAGGGTCTTCAATAGCAATTAGTGATTTGAGAACCTCAGTAATACAGTATTATCTGGATTTTCAGTGGACAAGGGAGGCAGAGTCAAGTTTCCTTCACTTTAAATAAAAGTGATAATAACCTTGTAAAGGATTAAGTTAAAGGCTGTCTGGATTTTAAAGTATTTATAAATAAAGTGCTGTGAACAATGTTAATGATAATTTTGAAAAATACATACTTAAACACACAAACTTTAAAAAACTATAAAAAACCCAAATGATTATAAAGCACGCTTCTCACCATGCACAATATTTGCTTTAGAATCCATGCTACAAAGCTGGTTTGCCTCCATGAAGTCTGCTGCAGTCAAAAATGGATGTGATACTGTTACTCGACTTAAAGCTAGCATCTAGGGAAATGTGAATCAGACAACCAATTACTTCAGCAGTTTGAGGATATCACTGAACAAGGCTGCTAAATTTGTAGTTTATTCTTATGGGCGAGTAGATATAAATACCTGGGACAAGTATTCTCAAATTTAGCTCTATTAAAATATAGTATTTCAATTAATGACACACAACTTTATAAACAAAAAGCATAACAAATTGCTGCATTCTGCTATCACCTCCCACTTATCATAATGACTTACTCTTCAAAAGAAGACACTTAAAAAGCGGAGTCCAATTCTCATGTACTTTTTGTTTACTTTCTCAAAACCTAACACAAATCCTGAACTAACGATCCCCTTCAAACACCTACTTCTTTTTTTCTGTAAATACTTGTTTTTCTTATAAAAGTTTAGATATTTAGGGTTGGCAGATTTAGCAAATAAAAATCCACACACAATATAGTTGGGTATAGTGGCACCTGCCAGTAATCCCAGTGACTCTGGAGGCCGAGGGCAGAAGGATTGCAAATTTTAAGGCAGCTTGGGTAACACAGACCATTTCTCAAAATAAAACATAAGAAGGATTAAGGATGCAGCTCAGTGCTTGAGCATCCTGTTTAATCTCTAATACTGCAAAAAGAAACAAAGAAAGAAAACTACAACCTAAAGTTAATAGTATGTACCATACAATATATCAGACACCTCCACTGTCAGTAGGACACAAGTATTTTAGTTTAAACAGAGATCAGCAATCCTTGGAGTTCATTCTCCTACTGGGTACAGCCCGGGCCACCAATATCTCCCTCCCTTTCTCTCCCCACCCTCTTTTATATGAAATATTTATTTCATTTTAACAAAGGACTTAAAAACAGCATACTACAGGGACACAGCCATATCAATGTTTATAGCAGCACAATTCACAATAACTAAACTGTGGAACCAACCTAGATGCCCTTCAAAAGATGAGTGGATTAAAAAAATGTGGCATATATACACAATGGAATATTACTCAGCAATAAAAGAGAATAAAAGCATGGCATTTGCAGGTAAATGGATGGCACTGGAGAAGATAATGCTAAGTGAAATTAGCCAATCCCAAAAAACCAAATGCTGAATGTTTTCTCTGATATAAGGAGAAGGATTCATAGTGGGGTAGGGAGGGGGAGCATGGGAGGAATAGATGAACTCTAGATAGGGCAGAGGGATGGGAAAGGAAGGGAGGGGCCATGGGGTTAGAAATGATGGTGGAATGTAATGGACATTATTATCCAAAGTACATGTATGAAGACACAAATTGGTGTGAATATACTTTTTATACAACTAGAGATATGAAAAATTGTGCTCTCTATATAATAAAAATTGTAATGCATTCTGTTGTCATATATAATTAAAAAATAAATAAAAAATTTAAAAAATCACATTCAAAAAAATAAAAAACAATACCATTACTTGCTTATTTTTATGTGGTGCTAAGGATTGAACCCACTGCCTTATATTTGCTAGGCAAGCACTCTACCCCTGAAATATGTTCTTAATATACAAAGAGACAACAGAGAATAACGTAATACCTAAGACTACCCTGCCTCTTCCTGATTGGACTCTCTACTCTTCACCACATAAAATAACCATGCATATCTTTATATTAATACTCTATGTATATGTATTCCCTAGACAAGAGTAGTTTTCAAATTTTATGTAAATACTATGTAGTCTCACAACTCATTTTTCAATGAACATTTAATTATGAAAATTTATCCATGTCAAGGTGTTAATTCTAATCATTTTTCTGTGTATTCCATTGTATATACCAATTATTCATTTTCTATTGACGAAACTCACCAGATTGGCAAAAAAAAGAGTAAGTTTACTTGTAGCCTTTACCTGCATTTCCCTGGTTACTGGAGACATAAATCCATAATACAAAAAGAGCTTGCAGAGTTGAGACAGAGATAATCACTAAAAGGATGATCTAAGCATATCAGAAGTACCTCACTATTAATTACTATGAATGAAAAAGAGACAACAGGAAACTTGCAGATAATGGTTGTTCATGTTGACAATATTGAGGCAGAAATCAATCTATATCTAATATCTACCTATCTACATGCCACACATTTCTTCATAATAGGCCTATTGCTAAAAATGACAGGGGGATAGAACAATGAGAGGGAAAGTTTATAGGAAAAAAAGAGAAGTTTTATGAATAAAAACAGAAATGAGAAAAGAGAAATGATAAACATGGCAGAACCATATAATAAAAAGCTTGTAGCCAGAGAGCCTTGGATTAAGTTCTGGCTTTGCCATCTACTAGCTGTGGGCAAGTTATTTAAACTCTAAGAACCTCAATTTCTTTAAAGACAAAAATAAACACCTAAGTATAAAAAAAATAAGATTATTATAAAATTTAGAAATAATGTAGGAAAAGCAACAGTATTACTTGGTAGATGTGCTAACCAATAAATGATGGTTGCTATTATTATTATTATTATTACTATTCTACTACAATTAAAAGTGACCAAGAAAATAATTTTCTCTTTAAAAGAAAATTGCCACAGACAATTTTCTAAATAGCAGAGTAATAACAAATACTCTTAGTAAAAGAAGTTCTTTAACTTTCAGGACAATTAATTATTTGTGCACTGATGTTAAGACACAATACATCTTAGTGAAAGACCATGACCAAATGGAACTTATTCCAGGCATGCAAACTGGTCCAACATAAAAGAAACAAACAAACAAACAAAAACAAAACCACCCCAAAACAAAAAATAAAAAACAACACAATCAAATGTATCAACAGCTAAAGAGAAACTGCATGATCATTCATTATCACCCAATCTAGCATTTGACAAAAATCCAAAACCCAGTCATAATAAATTCTTAGCATAATTAATTTAGAATAATTAATTTGATAATGAGCATGTACTAAAAAACTATAGATAACATCACATGACTGGGAATATGGAAGGATGTCTAGTCTTAACACTCTTACTCAACATAGTGGTAGGAGTTCTAACAACAGCAATATGGCAAGAAAAGAAAAACCACACGGATTAAATAGGAAAATAAAACTGAATCTATTTATGGAAAGCTATTGTCTGCATAGGAAATCCCAAGGTATCATTTTTTAAAAACTCCTAAAATAAGCTAGGCTTAGCAAGACCATATTGATATGTGTGTACATTTTTGTACACTAATGGTAAACACACATGCTAAAACCAAAATTTAAATCCATCATTTATAACTGCTCCAAAGAAAAGAACATACTTAGGCATTAAATGCTTTAAATATGTATAGGATTTGTTTTGTGCAATTAGAAAATGCTGATTTGAGTAATAAAAAAATACAATAAAATAAAAACCACATTCAGGGAATAGAACACTATAGTAAAAATGTCAATTGTCCAAAAATTTATAGATTTAACCTAACCACGCCCCATCTAAACTTAAATCACAATTCTCATACACTGCTGGTAGAATGTGAACTAAACAGCCTTTATGAAAACCAGTATGGAGGTACTTCATATAATTAAAAATACTATATGATCTAGCAATTCCACTATTAGGTATATGTTCAAAGGAAATGAACTCAGCATGGGACATCTGAATTTCTATCAATATTTCAGCATGTTCACAATAGCCAAGAAATGCAAACAACCTAAAAGTGTCCACCAATTGTTGAATGTATACAGAAAACGTGTTGAATGCATACCTACACGTAGTGGAGATTATAATCGGTCATAACTGGAATTGGAGATGACTAGGTTAAATGAAAAAAGATAGGGAGAATCTTACTCCTTTGGAATGTAATAAAGTTGATCTTACAAAAGTGTAGAGTAAAATGGTGGTTACCAGAGACAATGAAAAGAAGGGGGAGGTAAAGAGGGAAAAAAGTTGTTTTTGGATACTAAGTTACAGTTAAATAAAAGCAAAAAGCTCTGGTGTGCCACTGCACTGTAGAGTGACTACAGATAACAATGGTTTGTACTTTCAAAAAGCTGGAAGATGGATTTTGAAAGTTTTTATCAAAATGATAACTGAGGAGATTAACGAGGATTGTAACATGACACAATTTATATACATGTCAAAACATTACAAGATAACTTATATATCAGTTAAAACAATAAAAAGCCCACAAACCAGTAGTGTATGTAAGGACCGCAGGTTTTTGCTGATATTAAAATGCTTTTGTAGAACTTCTCTCACACTTGTATCTTCTGAAAGACACTACAGAAAAAAATATTAAAATTAAGTAATGACGCAGTCTTAAATTTAATATAATCATTTGCCTCATTTATTTACCTAACTTAGTACAATCTAAATCAAACTTCAATCCTACTGATATTCTTCCTCCTAGAAGTCAACATACAAAAGAACAATCCTTCCTTTCCCCCACCCCCAAATTCGAATCTAATAAGGGGAACTATACTAGTCATACTAGAGAATAACAGTTATTGTTTTTGGGAAAACAAGGAAAAGTATTATAAGAATGCTTAAGTCAACACACAAGAACATAAAGGAAAGAGAAGTCCAGGGATAGCATTAGTAATAAAGATTATTATTTGCAAATGGATAGTATGGAAAGACAAAGGAAGAAAATCTAATTAGAAGCAACTGCAACTGCTCATATCTGAGGTACAGATGGTGTGAAGAAAAGAGAGAATTAGGACATTGCCAGAAGAATATAAGATAGAGAATCAACTGATGAGAAGGAAAGGGTTAAAGGATCTAAGAAAAAAAATCAAAGATGAACTATGGGGGACAGGAATGTCTGTGAATATAGTGGAATGTACTCAACTTAAGTAGCAGATGGAAAAGAGAACACAAAAGTAAGATAGATTCTAAGAAGTGGAAGAGAATCCAGAAAAACAGTGATCTGGAAAGAAAACTTTAAGAGGGAAGTGGTGATTCACTATGTAAACAAACTGAGTTATATTTTGAGGGCAGGCTAATGGCTTTAGAAATGTGGAAATCAATAGTGCCCTTTGACAAGGCACTTAAAAGGAGCCAAGCAACTTCAGTAAAGTAGAATTTAGTGGAAGGTGTGGAACAGTTGGCAATGAAGAAAAAAGGGGATGAAAAGAGAGCAGCTTTAGAAGTGGAAAAGCCAAGAGGGTGTAGGGAAGACAGGCAGAATTTTCCAAAAAATCATCAGCATGGAATAAGGATTCTTCTTCATTAAAAAAAAAAAAAAAAAGAAGTCCAGAAAATTTGACATTACTATTGTTTGTTGGAGTTTCTTTTTTTCCTTAAATGTTTTTAGTTGTAGTTGGACACAATACCTTTATTTTACTTATTTATTTTTATGTGGTGCTCAGGATCAAAACCAGCGCTTTGCATGTGCTAGGCGAACGATCTACCACTGAGCCACAACCCAGCCCCTGTTTGGATTTCCTGCCTCTAGTGAAGGGATTACGGTATTTAAAGGTTCCACTCTCAGTTATTTTTAATTTTGTTTTTATTTTTTAATGGGGTTCTTTTTCTTAATACATACCTCCTTTTTCCATACACAAGACCAAATATCTTTTGGAAGTATATAAGGATAAATACACACACACACACATACACACACATTTATATGTTCATCATTGTATATATAATGTTAGAAATTTAAGAAATATGTGCTAATTAGAATAGGCAAAGTATAGTCTTGGCTTCTAGAATTTTTGACTATCAAATCTCTTGTAAAGTTTATGTGGTACAATCAGAGCACTTAGAAAAAATCATCTGGGACAAACATAATTGATGAAAGAAAACTTTCTCTGTAAAAATTCAGTTAAAAAAACAAAAAAACAAAAAATACCTTCACCATTTTTGACATGCTTTTTTCCCAAAGGGTTAATCTGTATTTTGCCTCTTTAATTTTAGTGCTCTTATTCAAAACTTTCCTGTTTTGGAAAGCTATCATCCTTTTCTTTCCATAATTACTTATTCTGTTTTTAAAAGAAGTTTACATCATCTATATGTGAGCCAGTACAAGAAAAAAAAAAATTTTAAATTAAAAAAAAAAAATTTTTTAATTGCATCTTGATTCAAACAATATAGCGTATTTGAAAATAACGCTATTATCAACAACCACTTGAATGTAGCTATGGCATTTTGGGGAATTTTCCTTGAGAATAGTTATAATTCTATTAAATTCTCTTTCCTAGGAATTTCTCTTTCACTGCCATGCTGAGATGGAATCTACTCTACTGACATTGATTCATTTGAAGTAGGGATACAACAAACTTTTAAATTAAGCAGGATACCTAGGTTCAATTTCACACTGAAAATATTTATTATTTAAGATATACATATATTTCTTTTAATTTAACCTTGCAATTTAAAAAAACTACTGGACGGAGAGGAAAGTAGCCTTCCTGTAGCCTTCCTTAACCCACAACCCCGATGGGACTCAGGCTATGGTGCTGAGAGGTTTTTTTCAAGGGAAATTTATTAGTATATCAAAGGAAAGTGGCACAAGAGGATTGATGCATGCATGTATCCCTAAGTTTTGGGGATACAGGGTCTGCAAAAAAGGAATAAAAAAACTAGGATTGAGTCATCCTTCTATCACATGGTTACTATTTTCAGACTTTCAGAGTTGGGCTTTACTAGTAATCCCCATCATCTTCCTTGTTTATATTCAGACTTCACTTTATCCAGGAAACCGTGTTAAGGACATCCCACAGACAACCAAAATATGAGGATGCTTAGGTTCCTCAGATAAAATGGCATAATACTTGTACATATTATAGGAATATGTCTGCTTATATAAGTAGACCTATATATATAAGGAATATAAGCAGACTGCTCAACAAGTTGTTTAAACAATACCTGGACCTTATATCTAAGATACTCAAGGCTCCAAAGAATCTAGAATGAATATTACCAGTGTAGAAGAAAGGTGACTTGCTTAGATTGGTTCTTAATAAATAACCCAATGAGACAAAAATTGAAGTTGTGTATGAAAATTTGAAATAAAAACATTAGCATAGAATAGGAATGAACATAAACATAGTGTTTTGCTAAAGTTGTAAACATGGAAACTAAATTTTTAATTATGTAAATTCACTAATAAAATTGTTTAAAAGGTACACCAGATACAGATAAAATAAAAACTTCAAAGTTAATTTGAAACTACTGACATTAAGTGCTAATGCTCATATGTGCAATTCTTTTGCAAAACTGAATGACATTTCAAATGCTTTTCATGAGAAAAAAATAATTCAAAAGAATGTATTCTTCCAGTCATCACAACAGCATTAGAAGCTCTGTGTTAATTTTATAAATTCTTTAAATTTGTAATTTTAATTGCTTTAAATCATATACCAAGACACAAATTATTTTAACACCACTGCGTTCAAGTTACCTGAACATTCTCATTCCACTTCTCAGCAAAATGCTTATCTGAAATTTCTTCAGGTAGTAATAACTCTTCTTTAAATATTTTTACATACTGTGGAAACCCAAATGAATTCATTAAGTGTATCTGCCGGTGAGAAAATCTTGACTTCACTCTTTTTTCTAAGAGTTCCAAAATGTCCTTAAAAACAAACAGAAATCTCTGAAAGATGCATGTTTATGAAAACATTACACCAACGTTAGAGGTACAAGTACATTATAATCTATACTTTAGCGATGCTTATTCTATATATATATATATATAAAATATATATATATAAAAATATATATATAAATAAAATTAAGGATTTGAAAAAATTTAATGGAAAATAAATAATTCCCTTGTAAGCATCAGTAGGCTTGATGATACTGTGCCTTTTTCCTATGGTAATCCCTAACAAAACGATTCAGTCTGAAAACTGCTGGACAATGTAACTACAGCCAGCTCTAGTGGTCCAGTTCTCAAAAGAGCTTGATTTTCATGGGGAGGAGAGCAGATGTTTTAGAATCAATAAAAATTTATCAAATGTTCACCTGGTATATGTCTCTGTGTGGGGAATTTTGTACGAATTGTTAAAGCAGAGAAGATTGGTTCTGATTATACTATTATTCTCTTCTACATAAAATGTTGAAATATTCTATAACATTTTTAAAAAGGTGTAATGAGGTCCATAACTATAAAATTATAAATCTAGACAGATGATTCTCATAAACATCCAAGTTAATAAATCATGATACAAAGGAAATAATTTAAGTGATCAAAATGAGATTATGGATAGTATATGAAGGAGGACAGAAAAGATTAATAGCTTGAACTAGGAGGAAGAAAAGAGAACAAAATATCTGGAATTTATAATAAGAATATTTTTATAATAAGATTTTATAATAAGAATTAAAAGAGAAGGAGGTTATATTCAGAAACAAGGGAATTTTACATTTTATTTTCTATAAATCTATGAAGGAGGAGTTCTAAGTCATTCATACAGGCAGGTACTGAAAGTAACTATGAAAGAATTAAGAGTCTACATTGGGAAGGAAAAAAGTTTCTCTCTTCTAAAAAAGAAAATGAGTTATAGGAAAGAAAAATAAATATACGGGTCTGACATAAAACTTCTAGAAATGGAGGGGGAAGGCTTGGAAAAAACTGGAGATATAAGGTGATTTTTAAAAACACATTTTATCTGAATTTAATAAGAAACTTCATACTATCAGAGTGTAAGGAGATAAATACCAAAAGATCTGTGCAGCTCTCCAAAGGTACAAAAGGGTTAACACGTATATAGCTTTCACAAAGTAAAGTGACTCACATACCAAGACTATGCTTAAAACCATTCTAAAGCCCCCAAGGAATGAAGAAGCCACTTTACTATTAACTGTTTGATAGAAAGAACCTCTTTAATTCTGGGGATGTATACTTAGAAAATTGCAATAGTATAATGCTGATTTGATATCAAGCATTTTATTTTTCTTTTTAAAAATATTTTATTTAGTTATAGATGGACACAATATCTTTATTTTTATGTGGTGCTGAGGATTGAACCCATGCGAAGCAAGTTCTCTACCACTGAGCTATAGCCCCAGTCCTCAAGAAATTTCAAAATACATGGTAGAAACTTAATGATTTTTATTAAACAGAGATTAGATTATTTAACTGTCTCTTTACTTGCTAAGTGTAGAAATTATACTTATTAGTATTTTTTCTCTTTCAATAATTTCAGTGAAGGGACTAATATATTAGTTTATAGGCAAGTGTAGTAATTGTTTTCTTGTATTCCTCAATTTGTAAAAAGCTGGATCTATAATACATATTGGGAAAAAAAAAGTTTTTTTTTTTATGTCTAATTTAATGACTTACTGTACCAGCAATTTAGCTTGAATTTTCTAAATATTATAATTATTTTTTTAAAATAGAAAGACTTACCAATCTACATGTAAGGCCAATAACTGCTACTGGAGTCTGTGCAGACTGAGAAATGTCAAAAAGATTATAGAGGAGTGTTTGGTTCTTATGATGAGCAAAAAGATCAAATTCATCTAATATGAAGATCACCGGGCAACTGCTAGTTCGGTCACCTAAAATAGAGAGCTTTTATATTAACAACATTTCTTAAATTTCCAAACTATTTACTACATTTCTATTATTGAAACTTATTCAACAAACACTGATAACCTGCTGAGGGCCATTACCAAGTAGGATTGATGCATGGAAATTTCCTTGCCAAGCCTACCCCATGCTGCTTAGAGGACATTCCATGGGACATTGCATGCATGCTTTAATAAGGTGACCATGCTCAAGGACCAAGGCAGATCCGGGTTTAGAGCTGATCAGGTTTGAGGAAGTAACCGGCTCCTTGAGCTTAAGGCGTTGCCAGTTTAAGATAATGGGTTTTAGGGAAGTTGGAAGTTGAAGATTATTGCTGGGATTAGGGTGTTCCTGCTGCTTGTTCCTGCTGCTTGAGTTCTCGTGAGATTAAAATGGGATTGGGAGATAGCCTCGTGGGGGTAGGTGAATTGTGCAGGAGACGGGCAGAATGCGTTTTGCCCCTGGACCTGTGTGGAGGCGGTGTGAGAGCTGGAATAAAGAATTGCTGTTTGAACCTACAAAGCTGTATGGTGCCTCCTGAATCTTGTGCCAAGCCGAGACATTGACATTGGCAATAATCTACATTGGGTAGGGCACTTAACAGTGCATGGATACTCACTGAATATGAAAAAATTACTCACAAAGATATCCCCTATTGCTTTCAAATTGTTATTAGACTAGCAGATTGATAAAAAATTAAGAAAATCTTTTAAATAATCATTTAATTGAAGGCTGCAGATTTTAAATCATATAAATGTAATACTTCTTTAATAATTATAAAGTTAAAGATTTTCAATACTCATATAGAATCAAAACACTTTGGGATTAAAATATAAGAAGTCATTAACTAATTAACAAATCACTTCTTTGAAAGAGAATTGTAAGCAAAAAGGCAAAATATATCTTCTTGTGGAAATAATTACTGTAAACACTGATTAGACAATGAAGTTTGATAAAAACAACTTAAATTATTTTTAACCACAATTTAACATGTCCACAATGAGGGAAAGTTCAAAATAGACCTCTACAATAATATAGAAATTTAATATCTGATAAACTATGGTACTAAATATCAATGAGGAAAATGATTTATTCAAAGATCCTTATTTTACAATGCATACAGAAATAAATTCCAACAAAATATTAATGATAATTATATTAAATGCAAACACTGATGTTTTCATAATCTGAAGGAGAGAAAAAAATCTACACAAATGTAACTATGCAAAAAAATTAATACTTTTGTTAAACTAAAAGGTACAAACCAAATTTAAGGGAAGAGGGTAGGGAGCACATGAATTTCCACAGGTAAATATGAAATAACCATCATGAAAATAAGGTAAAGAACCAACAGGAAATACATAAATCAGGAAACTAACAGAATAATACAAATTAAAGAAATAAATTATGTTGATGATCAAGAGAATTTTTTTATTATATAGGCAAACATGAAAATTGTTTCTAGTATATAGGCAAAAACCAAAAATTGTTTTCAAATAAAATTAGAGAGTAATAGTTTGCTAATGTTACTTCTTTTAAATTTGATGCCTTATAACCCAGAATTCTATTCATTAAAATTTATCCAAGAGAACATATGATCAAATAAGCATGTCTTGCTAACTGTAAAAAAATCAGAAACAAGTTTTTAATTGGTGACTAATAAATTATAGCACCTTTAAAAAACAACATGGGAATCATAAAAATTATGCAAATAAAAATTTATAAATTATAAAACAATAAGGAAAATAAATATAACTTTATTCCAAAAATAAAATTATCTATGTAAATATACAAAGAATATGTGGCAGGTGAATAAAAATAAAAAACCAATTATTGAGATAATCACTATTATAGTTGTAGGATTACAGTGATTTTTTTTTTCTATTTCCACTTCTGTGTTTTCTGTTTGGTATTACCTTCATAATTAAGAGTAAAATAAAAGTTAAAAAGAATCTTTTCATGCTGTTGTATGAAAAGTATTTACCTTTTTTTAAAGCTTCCAGAAGGAATGAAAGGTTTTCAGCAAAGCTTCCCTGAAAAACAAAAAAAGAAAACAAGTAGTAAAATAATAAGAGGTTGATCCTTAGACTTACACAGAAACTACACATCTTTCTTTTCTAGTAAATTAAGAGTCACTGCCCAGACATTCAGCCAAGTGTCAATATATTAACTATTTAAAACTTAATAGAAAAGTAAAGATAATAAAGCAATGAAAATGGCAAAAACTATGTAGTGTTTTAAATTTTATATGTTCTAAAATCTGTAAAAAAATTTATAGATTTGCTATAATCTAAATACAATGGAAAACCCATTTGTTCAAATACATGGTGCTCCTAAAAGTCTCTAAATGGCATTGCCAAAGAAATGAGTATGAATTTTAAAAAGAAATTTTTAAAGGGAAAGGTAGAAGAAATTTGCTTGAAAATATTAGATAATAATGTTTTCTGCTGTGGCTGCCCTATTGCCAGCTCTGAGGCATCATGAGAGAACCTGGTGAGAATGTTAAAAACTGCATGAGAGAAATGCTGAGTCACATGTAAATGCAAACCTGTTGGCATCAACAGAAGATTTCTCAGCAGAAAATCTTAAGGCCAGGAGGGTACAGAATGATATATTTCAAGGCCTAAAAATAACTACCACGATTACTGTACCAAAGCAAGGTTATGCTTTAGAATCAAAACAAAAATAAAGACCTTCTTAGATAAGCACAAAGTAAAGAAATTCATAATCATCACACCTGCATTATAGAAGATACTTAAAGGAACCCTTACACCCAAAGACAAAGACAAACATATCATGAGAGCACAGGAAAGAATAAATGTCCCTAGAAAAGTAGTTACACAAATGAGAAATAGGCAAGAATCAAACACCAGTTTGGTAAACAGTCAAATGTCTAAATGAATGAGGAAGAAATTAACAGACTATTCAGAACACCCAGAAGAAAATCAACAAAACAACAAAAACAATTGTGTATTTTTTGATAATAATCCTGAATGTACATAGTTCACAAATTAAAAGGTACAAACTAACTGGCTGACAGGATTAAAAACCAAGATCCAACAGGATGGTAAAGAAACTCATCTCACTTGGAAAGACATACACAGAACAAAAGTGAAGTATAGAAAACAATATTCCCAGTAAATGGAATATTCAAAGAAGTAGGAGAAGCTATACTTAGATATACAACAAAACAGACTTAAGACAAAATCAATTAGAAGAGGAAAAAAGGTCATTACATATTGAACAAGGCAACAATTCCATCAAGAAAATATAATGATTACAAATATATATGCACTGAATAGTAGAGCACCCAAATTTATAAAACAAAAACTATTAGACATTAAAGGGAAAGACAGATCCCAACACAATAATAATGGGTGGCTTCAATATCCCCATTTACAAATAAATCATTCTGGCAAAAAAAAACCCAAACCAAAAACAAAAAAAACAAACAAGGAAACATCATATTTAAATTATACCATAGATCAGTTCTTTAGAAGATATCCAAAGAACATTCTACACAAAAGCTGCAGGATACCATTCGTTTATAATTACATGGAACATTCTCCAAAATAAATGTTAGGCCACTGCAATTCTTAACAGATTTGAAAATAAAAATGAAATGATTTCTTTTAACTTATTAGATCAAAATGGAACGAAATTAGAAAAAAATAGCAAAACAAAACAAAAAATTACAGAAATTAAGGATATTGAACAAAACACTTTTAAATGATCAATGATTCACTGTAGAAATTGGGAGAAATGAAGAATTTCCTAGAATAAAATGATCATGGAAACACAACATATTAGAATGTGTAGGATATAACAAAAGCAATATTAACAGCAATGTTTATATTAATGAATGTTTACATCAAAGAAATCAGAAATATCGGGGCTGGGTTGTGGCTCAGTGGTAGAGTGCTTGCCTGGCACACGTGGGGCCCTGGGTTCGATCCTCCTCAGCACCACATATAAATCAATAAAATAAAGGTTTAAAAAAAAAAAAAAGAAGAAAACCCAGAATATCACAAATGATGAGGCATCTCAAGGTCTTACAAAAACAAGAAAAAAACAACCCCCAAATCAGATGGCAAGACATAATAACAATCAGTGCAGAAATAAATGTAATAGAAACTAAAAAAGAACAAAGCAAGGTGCTATAAACCAAGAGTTGGTTCTTTAAAAAGATAAAATTGATTAACCTTTAAAGTAACCAAAAGAGGGGCTGGGGATGTGGCTCAAGCGGTAGCGCGCTTGCCTGGCATGCGTGCGGCCCGGGTTCGATCCTCAGCACCACATACAAACAAAGATGTTGTGCCCGCCGATAACTAAAAAATAAAAAAAAAAAAAAAAAAAAAAAAAAAAAACTTTAAAGTAACCAAAAGATGAAAGAGACCCAAATGAATAAAAGCAGAGGTTTAAAAAAAAAAAAGAGAGACAATGCAACAAGTACCACTGAAAATCAAAGGATCATAGGATCATTAGGGAATATTTTGAAAAATTATATGCCAATAAACTGGAAAATGAATAAGAAAGAGACAAATTTCTGGACACATAAGACCTAACGAAACTGGACCAAGAGGATATTAAAAAAATGAAATAAATCAATATAGGCAATGAAATTAAAGTTGTAATAAATCTTTCAACAAAGAAAAGCACAGGACCAGATGAATTCAATACTGAATTTCACCAGACTTTTGAAGTACACCAATGCTCCTTTATTACATAAAATAGAAAGGGAAGAAACCCTTTCAAACTCCTTTACAAAGCCATTATCAACCTGATACCAAAACCTGATAAGAACACAATAAAGGGCTGAGGTTGTGGCTCAGTGGTAGAGTGCTCACCTAGCATGCATGAGGCACTGGTTTCGATCCTCAGCACCACATAAAAATAAAATAAAGATATTGTGTCCACCTAAAAGTAAATATATATATATATAAAATAAATAAAAAGGATGCTAGAGAGCAATATTCCTGAAGAACGGTCAAAAATCCTCAATAAATTACTTGCAAATCAAACTCAACAGCTATTAAAAATATACAAGTTGGTTTCATTCTAGAGAAGGCTCAACATATGCAAATCAATAAATGTAATACAGCAAATAAACTGAATAAAAGATAAAAAGTACATGATCATCTCAATATATACAGAAAAAGCCTTTGATAAAATTCAATGTCATGATAAATGCCCAGAATAAATTAGGTGTAGTAGAATCATAGTAATGGTTATGTATGATAAAGCCACAGTCCACATCATACCTAATGGAAAAAAAAACCTGAAAGTGTTTCCAATAAGTTCAGGAATAAGACCAGAATGTCTTCTTTCAGCACTCTTATTCAACACAGTACTAGAAATTTTTACCAGAGCACTTAGACAGGAAAAAGAATAAAAGGAATATAAATAAAGAAGAAGATAGTCAAATTAAACCTGTTTGCTGGTGATATTCTATACTGGAAAACTCTAAGACTCCATCAAAAGGCTTTTATAACCAATAAAGAAATATAGTGGTCTGGGGCTGTAGCTCAGTGGCAAAGTGCTTGCCTAGCATGCATGAAGCACTGGGTTCGATCCTCAGCACCATATAACAATTAACAAATAAAATAAAGGCATCTGTCCATCTACAACAACAACAACAACAAAATAAACTAAATAAATAAATAAAAATAAAAATAAAAAGAAAGGAGAGAAAGAAGGAAAGAAATATAGTAAAAGGTACAGGATATAAAAATCAACATGAAAATCAGTAGCTTTTCTATATGCCAATAACGGACTTGCTTAGAAAGAAATCAGGAAAGCAATCCCATTAACAAAAAACTCAAAAAGTTGAAAACAATACCTAGGAGCAAACCTTGCTGAGAAGGTAAAAGACCTTTTAAACACTGAAGAAAGAAACTGAAGAGGATACTAGAAGGTGGAGAGAGCTCCCATGTTCATGAAATGGAAGAATTAATACTGTTACAATAGTCCTACCACCCAAAGTGACCTACAGATTCACTGCAATTTTCAATGGCTTTCTTTAAAGAATTAGAAAAAAACAATACTTAATTCATATGAAGTACAAAATACCACAAAGAGTCAGAGCAATCCCGAAAAAAATAAGATGGTGGGAGCCATTAAAATACTTGACTTCAAAATATACTACAGAGATATCCTAACAAAACCAGCATGGTTTTGGCATAAAAACAGATAAATAACACTAATGAAAAGAAACAAACGACCCAGAAATGAACTGACTCATTTACTTCCCAACAAAGATGCAAAAATTATAAATCGGAGAAGAGAGTTCTTCAACAAACGAGGCTTGGAAAACTGGAGATCTTCAGAAGACAGAACACTGAGCCATATCTCTCATCCTGCACAAAAAATCCCAAAAAAACAAAACAAAGAATCAACTCAAAATGAATCAAAGACCTGAAAATTTGAAGCTGCAAAGAAAATCTATGGGAAATACTTCAAAATATTGGCATAGGCAATGATTTCCCAAATAGGACTCCAACAAGAAACAAAAGCACAATGAGAAATACATCAAATTAAATCATTTTTACATAGCAAAGGAAACAATTAACACAATGAAAAAGACAATCTATAGAATTGGCAAAAATCTCTGCTGGCTATTTATCTGATAGAAGATTAAAATCCAAAAGTAAACAACTTTAAAAACAGCAAATGAACAAATGATTTGAAGACAGCTCTCAAAATAAGAAATATAAATGGCTAGTAAATATATAAAAAATGCTCAAAATATTCATTACATTATGTAAATGTAAGTCAAAATTATATTCAGATCTCATGTCACCTTAATCAGAATGGCGATTATTAAAAAACAAAAAGTACTTGAAACACTGTGGGGGAAAAAAACACTTATACACTATTAATGGGAATGGAAATTATCATAGGCACTGTGGAATCACAGCATATATTCTAAGGATATCTGAAAGAATGAAGCCAATATACAAAAGAGATACTTGCATAACCCATATTTACTACAACACTATTCATAGTAGCCTAGGTGCCAGTCAACACATGGATGAAGAAAATGTTGTATATATACAAAATGGAGGAAAACACCATAAAGATGAATGAACTCCTGCCATATGCAGCAAAATGAATGAATTGCAGGACATTATATTAAGTGAAATATGCCAGGGACAGAAAGACAGTACATATTTCTCTCATACATATAAGCTATAAAAAAGAAAAAAAAAAGAGTGACTACTAGGAAATGGGAAAAGGATTGTGGGGGGAGAGAGGAGAGCAACAGAGGGTAGACAGGAAGATGGATACAATCAATACACAATATATATACATGCATGGAAATGTCAAAGTAAAACTCAATAACTTGCACAATTATTGTGTTAATAGAAAAAATAAACTAGAGGGATGCCTCCAAGGGAAATATTAGATAGTATTATAGTATTTGTCTATTCAAGAGCATATTGACAAATTTGTATTTATCACATCAAATTTGGCTATGTTTATACTTGGAACACAGCCAAAATATTTTTGGATGCAACTCAAATATTCTGGATAAATTCTAACAGAGTAGCAGATGTTCCAGGTTCAAATTTTTTATAATTAAAGTCATAATTTTTTTATTTCATTAGACTTTTAAAAAAAATAGTCAACTTCAAGTTTGAGGAGATATAATAAAGAGAAAAGAAACCCACCTGTTAGTACCCCAATGGAAACAACTGATAAAAAACACCATAACTGTTTTTTTAAGAAATTCTACATATTGTGATGATCAACGCTATTTTGCAAAAACTACTTCCATGGTAAAGCAGGAGGTATTATCCATAATTTTCCATAATACAACAAAGGCTCAAAGAAATAATAATTTAGAAAATCGGTGGTCAAAGTTAAAAAAAGATGGCTTATCTTTTGGCTTTTCTATATAAAAATCCTGCTAAAGTATAAACATACACTTATGTAAATATGTATACATATTTATATATGCTTATATACATATAAAATATTATAATATATAAACGATACACATGTGTATAATACATAAATATGTTGTGCATATACTCATACATATTTTAAATACATTTTATATAGAAATATATATATATGAATATGTATGAATATATGCATGACATTTATGTATACAAACATGTATAAATATATACACAACATATTTATGTTTGCTCTAAGTACATCAAAACAGAACAGATCTGGGTTGAGTTAAATGACTTAGGAGCCTAATGTCCATACTCCCCAACATTTTTTGACCTTTTGTATGCTATATGCTCTCTGAGTGTCAAATACCTCATCTATATAATGAAGAAGCAAAACTAGTAATTTCTCTAAAGCTATCCCTGAAGGACTGGCTCTAGGACCCCACTATGAATACCAAAATCCATGGATTCTGAAGTCTCTTATATAAAGTGGCCTAGTATTTGCTTATCAATTATATACATTCTTGGGGCTGGGGATGTGGCTCAAGCAGTAGCGCACTTGCCTGGCATGCATGCGGCCTGGGTTCGATCCTCAGCACCACATACAAACAAAGATGTTGTGTCCACCCAAAACCAAAAAAATAAATACTAAAAATTCTCTCTCTCAAAAAAAAAAAAAAAAAAAAAAACCAAAAAAACCAAAAAAACAAAACAAAAAAAACCTTAAGTCTTCTGGCTCTTTAAAAAAAAATTATGTACATTCTTTCTTATACTTTAAATTTTCTCTTTGTTTTAATATCTAGTACAATGTACTGATAGTTGTTATACTGTATTACTAATGCCAAGGGGGGAAAATCTGCATTAAGTATAGACACATTATTTTCCTGAATATTTTAAATCTATAGTAGGTTGCAAATGCATATGCAGAACCTACAGATAACCAAGGGTTGACTATGTAATAAAGATAATAATAGTGATGATTAGGATAAAGTGACAATACTGTGGCTTTTATTACTTCACATATGAATATCCAGTATGAATATGTCCATTTAGGAATGTTAGAAACATCTATTCAGATCAACTGGAAACCAAAAGTCAAAATGAGCCTACATAATAAGAACTCCCTTTGACCAAGTAGAAGGTCACTAGCTTAGGCATACATTCTAAAGAGGAGTTAGAACATTATATTTATAGAAGGAGCATTATGAACTTGCACTTCAAAGATCTGCAAAATATGAAAGGAAAGCATATGGTTGGCTCAGCTTTTTATAGATAATAATTAAAGAAAAGAAATTCCTAAATGCCTACACAACTATGGTATGTCACTGAAGCAGGGAGTACATAGCTATGAGAGTACAGTGACAGCACTGCATGATCACTAGTCATCAGAAAATGAACTCGGAATGTAAGTATCCCATTTCAACTGCATAAGCAATATAAGGATAAGTAATTTCCTCATGAAAATTAGGTTGCAAATTAATCTTATTTTTTTAGGTCTCATAAAATAGTTGACAGGCAAAAAGTTTATAAATGTGAAAACATTTTAAATCAGTGACTTTAAATTAGTGATGTTCACTGTCCTGAGACTGCATGCTGTATGAAAATTGGTTTATGGATAAATTTCTGTAAATTTAATAGTAAGAGATAACTGACATTTGTATAGCATGTTAGCAACAAGAAAAGTAACATTTAATCTAAATTAAGTTTGTTTCCTTTCATCTTTATTGTATGTACAATAAAATAAAGCCCAGCTAACAAATGAAGTATCTGAAATTCAGAAACATTTATTATCCCAAGATCACTAGAAGTTTAAAAGATAGTAAAGCAAGTGTCAAAAATAGTTACTGTAGCTTAAAATTCAGCAGTTTTCACTATGCCCATACCACAAGTCTCAGAAGACTACAAATAAACTGCTATTGAATAGATAAATATTAATTTATCTCTAAGGACAGAAAGCATTTATCTTCTTGGCAAAGTAATAAACTTAGAGAATAGCTACAAAAACATAGATTTCTTAGCTATTTTAGAACTAGCACAATCTACTATAAAAATTCAAATATATAGGCTTGATAACTAAATGTATCCTAATACATTTTATATTTTTATGACCAGAGTTTTCCATATTTTAACTCAAACCTCTGAAACCCTCTCCTAACCTTCCAGAAATATAATACCTTTACTGGACACTATGCTTTGAAGATTATTTAATAAAATATCTGAAACAATACTTACAAAAACTTTATCTCCAACTACATTTTCCAGATTTAACTGCCTTGTGATTTCCTTCAGAGCAATTTTATCATTGATCTGCAGCAGTCCTGAAATACATCCCATTTAAAAGAACTAAATCAAAATATGCATTTAATAGAAGATTATTATCCAAAGAAATTTTCCAAAGTTTTTAAAAATTTACTAGACAGGAAACAAAGTCTATTATATCATTAAAAAAATAGCAAAAAAAGACATTTGGTAGTGTCAATAAACAGATTTCCTTGAGGATATCATTGATTAGAAAAAGAAAGACAAAAACACTCCATGATGATCAATGTTTGATTCCTAAATATATTATGTATGGTTTGTTAGAGGCTATTATGTGGTTCATATCATTCCCATGAAAACTGATGGCTTACTTACCATTTAGGTGAACTTGTAATACATTTTCATTCACCTCTTCTATATCCATGAGTTCTTTCAAAGCATGATTTATTAACTAAATAAAAACGAAAAGTTAGAGATAAAAAGCAGTCTCTTTTAAAACTAAGATTGGGGGAGCAGAATGTAACAAGTCGTTCATAATTACTAAATTTTCAAATATTTTAGATAAAAAGTCTAACTAGAACCTCATATCTGACTTTTCTTAAGATACTAGAGCCAGAATTGACAGTACATTCTTAAGCATCTACTCAAACTTCTAATAAAAGTTTAGAAACAAACCTAATATTAAAAATATATATATTTTATATTTTTAGTACTGGGGATTAGATGTAAATGTTCGACCAACTAAGCTATAATCTAGTCACAACTTAAAATTATTATTTTATAAAAAATTGTGCTCTATATGTGTAATATGAATTGAAGTGCATTCTGATGTCATATATAACAAATTAGAATAAGTTATTTAAAAAATAAACATTTTCCATGTTACAGTACTCTATAGTCCCTAATGAACTTCATGTCATAGGTATATTTTATGTCTAACATTTACTGTAAGAATAGCAAAAATTAATCAAAGGCTACTGAAAAATATTTATCAGAACAATGCTAAATTATTGTAAAAGAAGTGTACACCCAATATATCAATTCCTGTGAAATATTGTAAACTACGTAGAATGATAACATGAAATGAAAATGAGAAATATTAGTAAATTAAGTTGAAAGAAACATAAAGGTTGCAATGAAAAATTATTATTAAATTATTAAAAATTATTATCATTATTAATAACATTGCATGTGATAGTCATCATTACCCTAAGTACATGTATGAAGACACAAAGGATGTGACTCTACTTTGTGTACAACCAGAGATATGAAAAATTGTGCTCTATATGTGTTATATAAGTTGTAATAAATTCTGTTGTCATATATAACAAATTAGATTTAAAAAAATTTAATAATGCAAGTAAAAGTTACTACTAAACATATTTATAGTCAGTGTTTTATTGCCTTAAAACATACAATTATATAGCTTCACATTTTCATAATGAAAAGTTTCTATGCCATCTATTTAATGCTTTTCTTTATTAAATATTTTTTTAGTTGTAGATGGACACAATACCTTATTTTATGTATTTATTGTTATGTGGTGCTGAGGATTGAATCTAGTGCCTTATACATGCGAGGTAAGCGCTCTGCCACTAAGCAATGATCCCAGACCCCTATTTATACATTTTTACTTGAGCCATAATATTACTCTTATATTGCAATATCATAGACATCTCTTTATATTATCATTACATGTACTTATGAAAATTTGAAAATGAACAGAATTAAGAAAAATAAAACTTTCAAAAGGAAAAAGAATGATGAAATATTTCTTCTAATATTTTATTAGAGTACTATAAAAAAATGACCCAGGAAAAGAAGAATATACAAAGAAATTATTACAGATGAAATAAAAATTTAGTGAGAAAAAAATTATTTAAGAAAGGCACTGGGGTAACTGGTAACTATTTAAAAAATGAATTTATTAAAACTATTTGTACTGGCAACAGGATACAAGATGATAAACAATAGCCAATTATTTGCCAATATGTTAGCAACAAGAAATTTTAAATTTTATGGAAAAAGAAATTTAAAAACACAATTCACATTAGTATCAAAAGACAGTACTGTGGTATAAGTCTAACAAAATATATATAAAATCAATATAATAAAAATTCTGATAAAATATCTAAATAAATAAAAATACACTTCATGTTCATGAATGGGAAGACAATACAGTTAAGGTCTCAATTCTTACCAATGTGATCTATAGGTTGAACACAAAACCCCAGCAATTCAATACAGATTCTCAGGACTTTGTGGATACTGACAAATTAATTCCAAACTTAATATGGAAGTAAAAATAGTAAGAACAGCTGACCCAATACTGAAGATGAGCAAAATCTAATACTTAGAGTATTTAACTTTAAGGTTTACTATAAAAACCATGGTAATTAGAATAAGTTGTATTCCATGTATATATAACATGTCAGAATACACTCTAGTGTAGTTAAAAAAAAAAAAAGAATTTAAAAACCTATGGTAATAAAGACAATGGCAAAAACAACAAATCAAATATATCTAACAAATCAAGGGAATAGAAAGGAAGCCACAGAAACAGATGTACACAAAGTCAGTTGATCTTTATAAGAAGCAAAGGCATTTTGATGAAGAAAAGATACCTTTTTTCCCTCCAAATGAAAATCACAAATATAGAAAGAACTCTAACAATACCAAATGCTGTTTAGGATGTGGCACAATAAGAAATCTTATCTGTTGCTGATGAGAAAGCAATCTGGTATAGTCGCATTGATAGTCTGGCATTTCTTACAAAGCTAAATATAGCCTTACCATGTATACAATCTAGCAGTTGTGCTCCTGAGTATTTACACAATTGAGATGAAAAATTTCCTTCACATGAAAATCTGAACACTAATGTCTGTGTTAACTTTATTTCTAACTGCTAAATTGGAAGCAACCAAGATGTCCTTCAATAAGTTAATGGATAAACAAACTGGTAGAAGCATGCATACAATGGAACATTATTCAGCAATTAAAAAAAAATGAACTAATAAGCCACAAGGGGAAATGCAGCATTTTAAATATATTTGGAAAAGGCAAGCTATAGATAAAGGGAAAACAACAGTAGTCCCCAAGAGTTCCAGGGAAAGGATGAATAGGTAAAGCATAGGAGATTTTATGGTGGCAAATTATTTGTATGACCCTGTAAAGATGTGTACATGACATTATTGATGTCATATTCCATAGAAATGTATAACAGAGAATCTGAAGCTATTATTAGTTAATAATAATATTAATAATAATAACATATCAATATTAGCTTATTAACAAAGATACCACACAAAGGCAATACGTTAAGTATGTGTATTTGCTGAGCAGAGAATTATATATGAATGCTATACAATCTGCTTAATTTTTCTATTAAAAAGTTTAATATGCTTAATTTGTCTCCTTTATTGAATAAAGAATATGAAAGAAAAGATGGAAGGGGATAAAGCAAGAATATCTTTTTGAGGTAACTAAGCAATATGATAAAAAGGGAAAGTAAAAGAAAATTATAGAAGACATAAACGAATTTGAAAAAAACTGCTTAGAGTTTAACAATAAATGGTAAAAAGAAAAAACAAAGGGCAAAAAAAGAATGCAGGATCTGAAAATTCCCTAAACTATAAAAAAAGGAATAAAACTTACCTTGCAGGGTGGAAATAAAGAATAAATGAAAGAACATATGTTATAGGGGCACAAAATACATGCTCAATAAATGCTAATTTATTTCTTCACAGGAAGTGTCTAATACTTTAAGCACAATGACCAGGATAGAACTAACATCAAGAGAAAATTTGTCACTGGGAAGAAATAGAAGGTAAAGAAAAGAAAAAAAAAAAAGGTATGCTCTACTCAATATCCCACCCGACTTTGCAAGATTTTTGTATGCCTTCTCTATTTTTAAAAGGGAAAAAACATTGTAAAATAGTAAAATAAAACTCATTTTTAGTGCTACCTGAAATAAGAATCATCGCATGTTTATCCAAGCAAAGAAAGACCAAAAATTGCTCTTACCGTGGTCTTTCCTGATCCTCGGGGTCCAATAATAAGTACAGAGTTACTTTCTCCATGGATAGCAGTTCTTTTTAGTAGCTCAATTAAATGTCTGAAATGATACAAATAGGCCAAAATTTCAAATAAAAAGCTAGAATTATTTGCTGGTAGTACATTTTAAAAGCTACATATTAGTATGCACAGAAATTTCTCTTTTCTTTGGGGATCCTGACTTAGGCTTAAATGGGCCTACTGTGAAGAAAATAGGAGAAAAAGAGAGCTGGCCAGTGCTGATTCTGTGAAAACCTAAAGAGAAAACCTATTAAGTTTGGCAAACATTGAATTTTATGATGATAGGAACTATAGGCAATTCTTAAGAACCTTGCATTTAGAATCCCTTTTTCTACTAACACTAGCCTTTATCTCCAGAACTGGGTACCAATATTATGGGCAAGAAGGTCAGAATTCTCTCTATATCAGGTAGTGGAAACAAAACAAAATTGATAAAGAGCTTTATCATTGTGGAAATATTTACATCTGCCCATATTTCATGATATTGTTCCTACAAACAAAGCAAAACTTTTTCTATAAAAGTATTCCTTATCCTAACAAGATCAAATTTGTGTATGATTAATTTTCAAAACCTGGTAGGTAGGGCTGGAGTAGTGACTCAGCAGTAGAGTGCTTGCCTAGCATGTGCAAGGCCCTGGGTACACTCCTCGGCACCACATAAAAATAAATAAAATAAAGGTATTGAATCCAACTACAACTAAAAAATAAGTATATATTAAAAGAAAAGAAAAGAAAAGAAATCTGGTAGGCAAACATCAGTAGCTTCATACCTGACAAGGGAATAGCTACACTTACTTGTACTGTGCTTGAAGTCCATATAGATTAGTATGTAGACTCTGATGACAAAATCTTTCACGTAATATTCTTTGTACCTGAATAAAATAAAGGGGATAAATGTAAAAGTATTACACATGCATTCAAAAATGAATAAAAAGTGCACGTATAGCAGTTGAGAAGAGATATTAATAAACAAATTCAATCCTTAGTACATCCTTGTCCTTAAGAGCTCTGTTACATTTTCCTGAGTTATAAAACTAATGATTCTTTTTACTTATCAAATCCCAAAGAAGTAATGAGAATTTAGTTGTGAAAGCTTCAAAAAAGGGGAGAATTACTTACTTACTTTAGCTACATCAGCAACATGGGTACTATTCTAATCTTGTAAATGAATTAATACTTCACTTTGTATAAAAATGTCAGCCAAGGCAAAAAGAAGCAAATCTAATAATGCAATGTAATCTAATAATGGTCATGTACCACACACTCAAACTCTATAGAGATCAACACATATAAACTGGCTTAGCTCAAATACTATCAATCTGTACCTGTCATAAAAGGCAGGATTCTAAAATGAACAAAAAATTTTAAAAGTTCATGTTGCTTTGAAAAACTACTAGATTCAGAACAGAGTAATACTAAAAGTATACGATCCATGCCTTTTTTAAAAAATGCAAATAAATTGTCAAGAAATGACAAGTTCAAGAAACAAATGACAAAAAGATAGTAGTTCAGCTATAAGCAAATGTGTGGGTATGTAAAAGAAAACACATTTATTTAGGCTATAAAGTAAGGGTTAGATTAGGAACAGGGGTGTAACAGAGGTACAGCGCTTACCTAGCAGGAATGAGGCCTTGGGCTCTACCCCACTCCCAAAGAAATGAAAAAGTAAGGAATCATTGAAATGAGCTAAGAAAAAAATCCTTGTAGGTAGCTATTATGTCAAATAATCTAATACAATCTTCTAAAACTGGAACATTAAAGTCATTCCTTCTATGGGTCTGCTCTAATACAGAAGTCCATCAAAAACCTTAGGAGGCTGTCTCAGATTTGGCCCCAGGGGCTTAAATAAGAAGCCTCAGATTATTGGCTTCTCTCAGACCAAGGATATGGAATTCATCCTTTATGTACCAAAGAGAAAGATCTGAGTTCTCTTTACATGTACCAGAGGCTATGGAAAGACAATTACTCAGTAGTGATAAAACAATCCATAGTTATATTTTAGGAAAATAGAAAGAATAATGATATTGGTGCCAGACAGCCACTTATATGAATTTAGAAAGTTTAAGTCTTTCTAAATCTCAATTTCTTTATGTATAAAATGGAGATAATAATACCTTTATAACAGGCCTGATTTGAAAATTAAGGTAGTTAGTAATCTTGTTAGATTATATAGATATTATATACATAATAGCTGATATGTGAGTTGTAAAACACTCAAATGTGCTTTATGTACAGATTCAGTGAATCACATGTATTCTCTACATAGAGGAGATCTATAAGTTTGAGGACAGCCTGGACAACTTGGCAAGATCTGCCTTGAAAAAAAAAAAATTCTTAACAAAAGTGGTAGATCTAAGGATATACCTCAGTGGTAGAACACTTGCCTCACTAAGTGATTAATTCTAATAGTGTTAGTATTAACCACATCCAAAAAAAGAAAAAAAGAAAAGTTAAGGTCTTATAAAGGACTATAATCATATTTAGCTTTGTTTTAAAAAAAAAACTGATGTAGTTGAGGTCAAGTTGGATAAATAGAAATATCAGGATGGAAATACCATCCCTATTCTCCCACCATATTATAAGCATCTTAAGAGAGAGACATATGTTTAATACTTAAAATACAGGATGCACTTAATATTAAACATTCAATATTAAACATTCCCTAAAAAGTCACTTAATAAACTAGAAAGTATATGTACAAAAAATGTATACTTAACATCATATATTATGGTAAAAACTGAATGTTTTCCCCTTGAGATCAGATGTAAGATCAATGACTATTCTTAACATTCCTATTCAACATTTTACTGATGGTTCTCACCAGGGCAATTAATCAAGAAAAGAAATTGAAGGTATCCACATTGGAAAGGAAGAAGTAAAACTACCTGTATGTACAGATGACATGATACTGAATAGAGAAAATCCTAAAGAATACATTAAAAAAGACTATTATAACGACTTCAGCAACATTTCAAGATAAATCATCATCATATAAAAATCACTTGGTTAATACTAGCAATGAACTAAAGCAAGAAATAAAAATTAAGAAAGCAGTTTCATGTACATCATCACTAAAATAAATAAGATACCAGATAATTTCTTTACAAAGTGGTGCAAAACATATTTTGAAGATAATATTTTACTAAGTTGAATTTAGATCACTTTTAGGAAGACAAGAGTAAGAGGATTAAATTATCCAAAGACAAAAGACGAAATCAGGTAGTACCATGATTGTTAATATAAAACACATTTAAAAAAATTTCTTTTAGTCATTGATGGACCTTTACTTTATTCCTTTATTTATATACAGTGGAGAGAATCGAACCCAGTGCCTCACACATGCAAGGCAAGTGCTCTACCACTGAGCCGCAACCCCAGCCATAAAACACATTATTAGTTGACATAACAGGACTTAAGAACAACCATAACAAGTTCTGTCATTGCACATTCTGGAAAGCTTTGCTTCCACATGATGTTCAGATGATCTTATACTGATCTATAAGGGAAAGAGTTTGCCTTTGTACTAGCCTTGAGACTATGGAAAATACATACCTTAGAAAGGCACTCTGCATGTATTAAGTTGTTACTCTTTGATTTACGACTGTTCATTTCCAATAAAATTCAATCCTAAAAAAATGAATACAATAAGCATTATTGGCTTAAATTTATTTAAGAGTTTACATTTCAGGAATGTAAAATGAATGTTTTAAAATATGAAAATAACAAAACTTTTTCAAATTAAAAAAATTCCCAATGGCTCTCCTTTGTCCAAGTTCCAGCTTATTTGACACCCTTCTACTTTACAGTTCTTACACCTACTCTTCCTTTGCCTTAAATCTACAATTCATCTTCCTTTCTCATTATAAAGAGTGTTTCTCTTACCCATCCATCCAATAGAATAATTCCCACAGAAAAACCTTTCCTTTCTGTTCCATTCAACAATCATACACAATCTACAGACTAGGTTAAATGCCTCTTCTATAAATGTTTTTTCTTGTTGAGCAGAGCTCTTTCTCTGCTTCTGGATTGTCATGTCCTGAGCTTCTTTGCACTACCACACCCTTCTATCATGATGTTCTGCCTAATTACGGGGCATGGAGCAATGGAGCCGGTCATTTATGAACCAAGACATCTAAAACCATGAGCCCCAAATATAAACTTTTCCTCCTCTAAAATTGTTCTTGTCAGGTCTTTTGGTCACCGTGGTGAAAAAGCTGACCAAAAATCAATCAATCAATCAATCAATCAATCAATCAATCAATCAATCTATCTCCTTGAGACTACCTTTGGTTAAAAGATCTAATTTTCTTGGCATGGATTTCCTATAGGAGTACCTTAAAAGTCAAGTAATAATAATACCTTAAACAGTGTTTTACTTGGGTAGTAGAAGTTCTTACAAATACTTTACTAATTATACCCTCAAAATAATCCAAACAAGTACTATTATAATGTCCCTTTAAGATTAGAAGATACAGGTTAAGTAACTTGACAAGAATTGAATAGTAAGTAGAAAAGCCAGAATTTAAACCCAATTAAATCATACTTTTTTTTTTTTTTAAATGTATTCTGGACTGCCCTAGAGTCTACAGAAGGTATACAATCCTATTTAAGTCCATTTAAAGCTGTTTTGCAACTTCCAATCTCAAGAACTCATCAAACTCAAGACAGTCTAAATTACCTTCAAATTAATATTGTGATGTGACAGGGATGACAACAAAATTGAATAGGAAGCCACCTGCTTTAAATCTCCATGTAACAATAATAATTTTATAGCCATCCATGAAATAAAAGTGCCTCAGTGGGAACCTTAGTATTCTAACAGGAATCTGTGAAGTACCAGGGGAGCCCAAAACCTAGAAAGGTGGCTTTGAGAGGGCAAAAACTCATAAAGGTGACACATGTGCTAACTGTGGTCCCAGCTCCTGATTCGGAAGAAGGTCTGTTCCTCTGAGGGCTCAGGTATAGCCCCATGTTGCTTTGCTTTTCCTATAATGGGTCCAGGAGCAATGATTCCCACTAGTATTAAAGAAGACAAGCCTATTCTCCTGAGTCTTGACTGGATAATGAAAAGTCCTTCAAATACAGTTCTTTGTTGTCTGGTTCTCCTCTGATATAGTAGCATACAGGGCACCCTACTTAGCCCTCTTGGTTCCTTCCCAGGACTGATTTTGTGGGGAGCTTCAAGGGTGCTGTTTGAATGAAGAGTCACAAAATCTATACTGGACCAAATTTAATGAAGTAGAATCTAGTGCCTTGAAAACCATCAAAATATCTGAAGCTCAAATAACTCTGTACAGATCAAAACATTCCCTACAGAGTGTTTCATCTTGAAATTCTAGGCAGTTCCAACCAAATACCTACCATGGTGATAGAAAACAAAAAAAATCTCTCAATAAAAATTGGCCCCCACCATGTTTAGGTGTAATTAGAGAACAAATTTCCTGCCCAGGGTACTGGAGGGAGGCAGGTGTATGCCACCCACAGGTTATCCAATCAAAGCCCCACAGAAGGTCCTGAAAAGCAGCTCTAGACCCTCTCAACACAATGTGAGGCCTGCCCATCAGGGACCTAGTGAATGGCAAGCACGTCCATGTGACCAAAGGGATAGGCAAAAGAGTGGGTCTTAGCTATAGAGCCTAAGGCATTTTTGTGACTTTGTTTCAGCCTTACCAAGCCATGGACAGAAAACAGCAGTGTCTGACTACAATCTCATCTAGCAACCTGGGAAGATATCCAAGGGACCCAGAGAAGCTGTACCTATATGCATATCTTATAATAAAACTGCCATTTACAGGCTGTCATCCCAGAATTAGCCAAACATACTAAGGTACCGAAGGCAGTTTAGTACAGCCAGAGACCAGAGCAGATTTGTGCTCAACAGATCCCTGGGGTAAGAGACCAACTAACCACCAACCAAGGACTGCACTATGAACCCAGCAGAAGACAAATGACCTGATTGGTCTCATTTGACTAGAGTAACTAGGAAATCTCATCAGCCCAGGAACATCATAAGAAAAGGCTTTAACCTGCCAAAACCGGTCTGAAATGACTAAAAGTGCTCCCTCTTTCAAATGCACTAATATCAGTACAAGGCTATAAGGACAGCAGAGAATCAGTAAAACATGACACAGCAAAGAAAAACTAATAAAACTACAGGAACTGAATCCAGAAATAAGATCTACAAAAGTTTTTAGTTTAAACTAGTTTCAAGAAGCTTAATGGACTGGAGGTGTAGCTGAGTTTGAGAGTACATGCTTAGGATGTGCAAACAGAAGGAAAAACAGAAGTTCACTGTGATGACAGAAAACACAAACAAAGCAATGATTTGGAAATTAATACATGAACAAAATGAGAAGTTTAATAAAAGAAATACAAACAATAAAAACGTATTAATTTTGAAGTTCGAGAATACATTGGTGGAACTAAAAAAATCAACTGGCAGTTTCAATAGTAGACAAGATCACACAGAATTAGGGAACTTGAAGGCACATCATTTGAAATGAGTCAAAGAGAAAACAAAATGAAAAATGACTTATGGGAGAACATCAGCATATACATATGTTAGCTCACTTAGCAATGAGGATATGTTCTGAAAAATGCATTATTAGGCATTTTCCTTCCTGTGTGAACACCATAAAGTGTATTTACACAAGCCTAGACTATATAGATTACTACACATCAAAGCTACATGGTAAAGTCTATTACTCCTACACTACAAACTTGTACAGAATGTTACAGTACTAAATAGGCAATTTTAATACAATATAAAGTATTTGTGTAACTAAACAGAAAAGTCAGAGTAAAAATACTAGGCAACAACAGAAAATTTTCAGCTCTGTTATACTATCATGAGAACACTGTCATATGCAATTAATTATTGATTGAAATGTTGCCATACAGTGCATGACCGTATAAAAATTAGAGGAATTTCAGAAAGAAAATATGGAGAGGAAAAGAGACAGAATACTTATCTAAAGAAATAATGTCTGAAAATTTCCCAAATCTTGGCAGGGATATGAAAACAGGAAAGTAAGAAACTCAATGGTAAAGGTAAATACTAAGTCAAATTCCAAAAATCTCTAGTACAACAGCTAAAGAAGAAAACTATGAAAAAGAGTTAGGAACACTTTTCAGAAGTACAATATTGCTTAGCACAGGTTAAATCCCTAGAATTACCCATATACAGATAAACACATATATTCAATTTTATGAAGATCAAAGAGCCCTAAGTAAGATCACTCAAAAGAGAAATACTGCAAGATATATTGTAACCAAACTGTTCAATGTCAAATACAAGGAAAGACTTTTGGAAGTAGCAAGAAATGAGACAATCATCACAGGCAAGGAAACTCCCATAAGGGAGTGGAATGAAATATTTAAAGTACCGGAAAACAAAACAAAACAAAAACAAAAACCCCTTGTAGAATACATTGCCTGGCAAAGTTACCCTTAAGCAAATGGAAAAGATAATTCCAGAGAAACAGAAGCTGAGGAAGCTTATCATCACTAAACCTGGGTCATGAAAAATGCTATTACAATGTCTTCAAGTTGAAACCAAGAGTGATAATCAAAACCATGAAAACATATGAAAGTAAAAAACTCAATGGTAAAGGTAAATACAAAGTCAAATTTGGAATAGTATAACAGCTAAAGAAGAAAACTACGAAAAAGAGTTAGGAACATTAATCAGAAGTAGAGCATTTGCCTATCACGTGAAAGGTCCTGATTAAATCCCCAGAATTACTCATGCGCGCGCGCACACACACACACACACACACACACACACACACACACACAAAAAAAAAAATATATTAAAAATAAACAAACCTACAGTAATCTCTTAAAACGTACACAACGTAAAAATATGTAAACTGTGGCATTAAAAACAAATCATGGAAAAAGTGTAGTTTCTGTATGTGATTGAAATTGTTATCAGCTTAAAATAACCGACCAGAAATACAAAATGTTTTATGTAGCCCTCATGATAACGACAAAGCAAAAACCGATAGGAGATTTATGAGATAAAGGAATCAAAATACACTTAATAGAAAATCATGAAATCAAAAAGGAAGACACCAAGAGAAAAGGAAAAGAACAAAAAGGTCCACAAAGCAAAGAGAAAACAACAAGTTAAGATTATCCTACTAAAATGGCTAGGACCAGAAGTATTTCATAAAGTTTTTTTCTAATTTTGGAAGGTTTGCAGCCTTTACTGGTCAATATGAAAATCTGAAAACCAATATGAAAGTAAAAAACTTTTTCATATGTTGCCTAAATCTGGAACTTTTTGAGCATTGTGTTAGGGTTCAAAAAGTTTTGGATTTTAGGACATTTCAAGATTTCACATGCTCAACTTGCAATAAAATGGCAGTAGGAAGTTCTTCTTATAATTACATTAAATGTAAGTGAATTAAATTTTCCTATCCAAATGCAGAGTCGCTGGATGAATAAAAACAGCAAGACCCAATTGTATGCTGTCTATAAAAAACTCATTTCGCCTTGAAAGACACATATACTGAAAGTGAAAAAATGGGGAAAAAACATGCCATGTAAACAGAAATCAAAAGAAAGCAGTGATAGCTAAACTTAGAACAGACAAAATAAACATTAAATTGTCCAATATTTCA